CCGCTTAGAGAGGGCTGTAGAACAGTGGTGAAATCAATTTTTTTTTACTACAGGTTCTGTGGGAGTGGCTTGGTGGGCGGGGTGGGGCTTGGTGGGCGGGGCAGGGGAAGGATATTGCAAAATCTCCATTCCCACCCCACTCCCAGGGGAAGGATACTGCAAAATCCCCATTCCCTTCCCACTCCTGGGGGAAGGATATTGCAAAATCTCCATTCCCATCCTACTCCAGGGGAAGGATACTGCAAAATCCCCATTCCCACCCCACTCCAGGGGGAAGGATATTGCAAAATCTCCATTCCCATCCCACTCTGGGGCCAGCCAGAGGTGGTATTTGCCGGTTCTCCGAACTACTCAAAATTTCCGTTACCAGTTCTCCCGAACCTGCTTGATTTCACCCCTACTGTAAAATCACTGTGAAGTGGTATATAAATCTAAATGCTATTGCTATTTGTTAGCCTCAGTGACCTATGCCGAACGTCACCAATATTAGTTTAAGTCAACTGGAGAATCGTAGTTGTTGAAGAAGCCGGGCAAATCTGTGAATTACTGCTAAAATTAGGCCTTTTTCTTCCCAGTAGCATGGGAGAAAATTGATTTCACTTTCTTTCTACAATTTAGAGGTTGCCCAACTCCACACAGCTCCATGTGCTCTCAATTCTAAAGTAAGACAACAATGACAGGGGAAACCCAAATCACATGACTTTCCGTCCAGAAGGAAATCACACATAGTAAACAAAATGTCCCATGGTGGCTCGAGAATTACTGTACTCCCAGACCTGGGAAAATAGCCAAGTTTTTACACGGCTTTTCAAATATCAAGGTCAAACAGATCTATTCCAGAGGGCAGAAATTGCATCAGAGAAAGCAGACTTCCTATGTCCGAATAGGTGACGTTGCTTAATTATTATTTAATCTTAAAATCGTTGCCTTCGAAAGCAAAGCAAGCTGGGTAGTTTGATAATTTTCAAAGTCTGCGGATGGGCAATATCTAAAACAGACAGATTAAGAGAGTTGGAAGGGACTTTCCTGCCCAAAAGAAGATCCTACATCTGCCTCTCCCTAGGATCGAACTCACAGCCTCCTGATTGTGAGGCAAGGGCTCCAAGCCTAGGCCACAGCAATATAATCTAGGCACTGTATTGTGAAGCTATTGTAGTTTAGAAACTTGGCTCAGAGTTCTTTGTATGCTGGCTTAGAGTTCTTCTATAGTAAATAATTATGATTTGCATTAGAATCCATTTTGGAAGGTTTTAGGGGCCATTTTGTGCCTGCATGTTGTCTCTCTTAACTCAGAGTTTCTGAAACTCAGACACTTTAAGCTCTGTGGACTACAGCTCCCAGAATTCCCTAGCCGGCTAGGGAATTCTGGGAGTTGGAATCTGCCCAGGTAAAAGTGACTGAGGTTGGGAAACACTTCTAACTCATTCTTTCCAAATCTTTTCATTGGCCCAAGATAGATGGGTTATGCAGATGCCGGTTAGCTGTAAGAAAGATCACAAACACAGGTAGTCCTCTTTTTCCAACAGTTCATTTAGTGACCAAAGTTACAATGGCACGGAAAAAAGTGCAGAAGTCAGGGTACCGAAACAATGCATACAAAAAAGGCAGTCATATTATTTCAGATCGCTAATATGTTTTGAATGTTTCCCCTCTTACAAAATACCTGCACATACAGGTATGTGACTTTGACTTACAACCATCCATTTAGTGACAGAAGTCACAACGCAACTGGAAAAAGTGAGTTCTGACCGTGTTTCACACTTACGACCATTGCGGTATCTTCATAGTCACGGGGATCAAAATTCAGACGCTCGGCAACTGTCTCCTATTTATGACGGTTGCCGTATCCCCAGGATCACGCAATACCCTTTTGCGACCTTCTGATAAGCAGAATCAATGGCGAAGCCAGATTCACTTAACAACCGTGTTGCTAACTTTAGAACTGCCGTGATTCATTTAACAACGGTGGCAGGAAAAGTCGTAAAATGGGGCAAAATTCACCGAACAAACGTTTCGCTTAGCAAGAGGAATTTGGGGCTCAATTGTGGTTGTAACGCAACCTCTACCTCATTAATTAACAGTTGCAATATGTGAAACTGGCATCCTTGTTTGAACTGCTCTGACATTGGTTTCTAATTGATTCTGGTGGTGGTGATTCAAAACCACTTGAGATTCTCGTTATGATGTCGGTGTTAAAATCCCCGGGAGGAATCTTTGCTCTTTGCATATTTATCAGCCCATGAACGCTCCTTATCAGCTAACCATAATTTCCTTTGAAAAAGATAAGCCTGGCCATCTGACCTTGCATAGGAGACCACAAGAGACCGCAGATCTGTAAGCTAATTGGGAAGTTGAAAGAAACATTTTGGAAGAAGATAATGGAAATGTACTTCCATATCATGCCAAGAAAAACTGCATGGATATATCCCCGCAGTCAGCAGGAGTTGACCTTAATCTAAGGGAAACTTGACAGCTTTTTTATGAGGGCCACATAGAAGAACTGAGGATTGGGAAGGAAGGAAGGAAGGAAGGAAGGAAGGAAGGAAGGAAGGAAGGAAGGAGCAAGGAAGCATTATTTCCTAATTGTTTCCAAAGAGACTAAAATAGAGTTCGCGCATTAACAATCTTATATTTCTAGAAGGTTATCAGATCCACACATGGGAAGTGGGAGTTAGAATCGCGTAAAATTGGAGGTGTCTTGGCAACGTTTCGACGAAGTCTCATTCGTCATCCTCAGGCTTGTGTTCTCGGCTTCGTGCTTCTAGGAGCACGAAGCCGAGAACACCAGCCTGAAGATGACAAATGAGACTTCGTCGAAATGTTGCCAAGACACCTCCAATTTTACGTGGGAGAAAACCCGAATAACCAAAGACCTACATACAAACACCCGCGAAAACCTCAGAAAACACACACACACACACACACACACACATATATATATACTTTATTCAGTTTTATATATATACAAGACAAAGATTTCATTTCTATTTACATCGGATCTGCAGTGTTTATACATATATACATAAAATGTCTCTGGTATCACTTTATCAGTCTATTACTATTTATTTATCATACCTTATATTCCCTCTTTAATTCTGTTGTTCAACCATTCGTACCACCTTTCCCACACAGTATAATAATCTGAATTCTCATTGTTATTTATTTCATACGTTAATTTACTCATCTCTGCGCACTCCAGGATTTTCCTAATTATAAGTTCTTCTGGTGGCCGGGTTTTCTCTTTGCAGAGTTGTGCGTATGCCAGTCTAGCAGCTGTGGTTATGTTTATTATCAGATGGATCTTTTTCTTTTCATACCCCCTTTTTACTATTCGCAGGAGAAATATTTCCGGCGTCAATTGTATGTCTTCTCCAATTATTTCTTGTATCCAACTCCAAATTTTATTCCAGTATCTTTTCACTTCGGGGCATGTCCACCACATATGAAAGAAGGTGCCCTGACCATGGCCGCATTTCCAACAGTTGGGGTGCATATTGGGGAACATTTTAGCTAATCTGGCAGGTGCTAGATACCACCTGTGAAGCATTTTGTATTGATTCTCCTTATAGGTCGCGGCTCTAGTTAATTTATAATTTTTGTTCCATGCCTCTTCCCATTCATTGAAATTTAGGCTATGTCCTATGTTTTTCTCAAACCTTTATTGTCAGTGCACAACATACAGTATGTACAATGAGATTGGTTGAGCTCCCTCAGTGCACCCCACACAACACAATACAACTCACAGTGAAGGCAGAAAATCCCTAACCCAATCAATCATATTAACAAAACACCCAGTCCTATTGCACCAGTTTGAACACGTTACACATTGCGCCGGCCCTGCAGTCCATCATACTATGTAGTTATGATGTTATTTCTCATTCAGGAGTCTGGCAGCCCACGGATAAAAAGTGTTCTTCAACCTGTTTGCGCGGCTGGCTACACTTCTATATCTCCTTCTCGATGGTAGGAGGGTAAAGAAGTGGTGACCATATTCATATTTTATATCTATTCTTATATTACTACTAATACTTAACATATCTACTATTATAACATTTCTCAACTCATTTGCCTTTATAATACATTATTTTTCTATTTATTCTCTAACCACTGATAGAATAACTCCCATTTATTACCGTGTTTCCCCGAAAATAAGACCCTGTCTTATATATTCTTGAACCCCAAAATAAGTGCTTGGCCTTATTTTTGGGGAGGTCTTATTATTTTGGGGGCGCATGGAGCAAGATGGGGCTCTTCTTGCAGTCTTACCTGATTTCCAGCTCTGCGTTTAAATATTTTCAATGAGGGCTTATTTTTGGGAGGAGGCTTATTTTAGTGCATGCGCTCAAAAGCCAAATTGGGTTTATTATCAGGGGAGGTCTTATTTTCGGAGAAACTGGGTATAATAATCAGATTCTTCCTTTTCTTTAATTGCAAGTGTTAATCTATTCATTTCTGCACATTCTAGTATTTTCTTAATCACATTTTCATCCGTAGGGATCTCCTTCACTTTTCCAATTTTGTGCAAATACAATTCTAGCTGCAGTTATTACATGAATAACTATAAATATACGTTTACTTTACTATATATTTCTGGTAAAATCCCCAACAGGAATAGTTCAGGTTTTAAATCAATATGTTTCCGCGTCCTCTTCTCCAACCACATGTGATTCCCTTGTGTGGCCTTTCTGATACTCAAAGTCAATGGGAAAGCCAGATTCACTTAACAACCATGTTGCTAACTGAACAATTGCAGTGATTCACTTAAGAACTCTGGCCAGAAAGGTCGCAAAATGAGGCAAAATTCTCACTTAGCAACGGAAATTTTGGGCTTAATTGTGGTTGTATGTCAAGGACTACCTGTACACTATATTTACATCTAGAAGGCATCTTTATAGCTGTAGAATAAGAACAATAATGATTTGGAAATATCAGCCTTTGTTTATGCTTTCTTCCCAGAGAGGGTAAAATTATCCCTATTTCTCTTGTGTCTTTATTTCCAGCATGAAGCCATCATGGCAAGACTTCCTCAAACGCAGGACCCCATGATACCAGATGATGACACCGATCAATACTACACTGTTTACGGGGACCACGAATGCAGGAAGTGTCCACCAGGTATTCCATTATCACCTTGACCTGAGCCTTTGTAGTAAGGCCTGGACATGTATATGACCTGCTCCTTTTTTGTTTTAGAAATATAAGTTAGACCAGGGGTCACCAACCTTTCGGACCTCAGGGACCACTAAATTCATAATTTTAAATCCCGCGGACCACTAATATGATCTGCCTAATGACCAGCTGGGTGGGCGTGGCAAGGTGGTCATGTGACTGGATGGGCGTGGCCAACTTGATGTCACTCATATCGAGGGGTGCCTCATTGGCCTCTACTCGCCCCTCCCCTCCCAGCCACTCCTCACCTGCCCGTCCGGGCTCCTTAGGCTCCAACAGGAAGCAGTTGTTGGAGCTAAGCAGCCACCAGGAGAAAGAGTTGGCAAAACAGCTGGCTCAGTTCAAATTGGATTTGGCCAAGAAGGAGGCTCAGCAGAAGCACCTCACTGAGGACTACGAGCATAGGCTTTCCAAGCAGAGGGAAGACCTGCAGGAGTGCAAGGCCAGGTACCGGCGCCTGGAGGCTCAGCGGGCTGAGATGGTCAGCCAGTTCCAGGCCATGATGCAATCCCACTAGAACAAGGCCCTCCCTCCAGCCTTCGCCCAAATCCGCACACCAGGAGGCTGAAGCAGACCCCAAGTCGGAATTTCTGCCCCCCTCCGACCCACACAAAAAGACCCCGAAGGGGGAGACTCTCTGCAGCAACACAAACGTTCATTGCATGTATCCGGCCCAGGGGCCGTAGTTTGAGGACCCCTGATTTAGTGCAATATAAAAAATGCAAATAATTTTTCTGCGGCCCACCAAAATTTTCTCGCGGACCACCAGTTGTTGACCGCTGAGTTAGACAGTTCTTTCTTTTTTTAAAAAAAAAATATTAAACATTTTTCAGCTTTAAAATCACAATTACACTTTTACAGCTTTCCATTATCGGAAGATTTTCAATTTATCCTTCGGCTTATTGTGTACTTGTACATTCTTATTTCTTAAGTACTTATTTATATAATATGTACAATATATACATATCTACTACACACTAAGTATATATTTTTTCGTTATATTATCTTCTCTTAACATTCACTATACATTAATTTTAGATTTCTTTTCCAGCCAATTATACCACCTATTCCATGTCTCATAGTAAACTGTTTCCTCTCTGTCCCTTAATTCCATCGTTAATTTGTCCATCTCTGCACATTCTAGCACCTTTTTTATAATTATTGTGTTTGGTGGAATGTGTGGTTGTTTCCAATTTTGGGCAAATAATATTCTGACTGCGGTGATTATATGAAGCATGAGGTATTGAATTTCTTTATTCATCTTTCCTTTTATAATACCCAAAAGAAAAAACTCTGGTTTCATATCGATTTTTAGTTCAATAATTTTCTCCAACCACTTTTTAATTTTTAGCCAATAATTTCTGGCTTTGAGACATGTCCACCACATGTGGTAGTATGTCCCTTGTTGGTGGTTACATTTCCAGCAATTTGGTGGGCTATTAGGAAACATCTTGGACAATCTAGCCGGGGGTAAATGCCATCTATAAAACATTTTATACATGTTCTCCAACAGTTCTTTCTTGATGACCCCATGGGACGATCATTTCATAAAACCATGCCAAATAATTATTTCCGCATCATTGTCCTTAGTTCTAAGAAACTACATAGGAAATGACCCATTCAAAAAACTGTGCTAGAAGCCATTGGAAGCGGTAGATAACAGCAGAAGCCAACTTTATTTTGTTTTTTAGTTTTTTTTTTAAATCACACCGCATTAGTCATTTCCCCAGAAATTCTACAGAATTCTCGTCGCAGTAAGAAATTGAACAAGGAGAGCCAGATTGGGGGGGGGGGGAAATTTAGCCCTTGAAAAGTTAAATGAGTATTCTGGGACATCTATTTTTTTAAAAAAAATATTGATTTATATGCCGCCCTTCTCCGGAGACTCAGGGCGGCTTACAATGTGCTCAGCAATAGCCTTCATCCTTTTCTATATTTATACAAAGTCATCTTATTGCCCCCACAACTGGGTCCTCAATTTACCTACCTTAGAAAGGATGGAAGGCTGAGTCAACCTTGAGCCTTGGCGAGATTAATTAGCATGACCATAAAGAAGAAAGTTGGAATATTTAATTTACTTTCTGGATAGTCACTTTTCTTCTAGGAAACTGGACAAAACAAATGTTGCCGTGGCAGTCATTTTATTGTAGCTAAGGAGATGATTCAGAGGGATTAGAAGCTCGTTCTGCTGTTAAAAAAATAATAATAATTGTGTGGGTTTTTTTCTCTTCCTCCCTTCCAATGAATAGGCTCATCCTCCTTCTGATGGACTTTCCATTGGTTGTTCCCCTTAATATCACATCTTTCTTAGCACATCTGCAAAAAGTATGCTTCTGCTTAGAAAGGCAGATTCCCAAGCGGTTGATACACATGTGCTTCCGACATACTATGGAGACACTTCCACAATGTGCAAGACACAGTATTTGTTTATTTTACTGAAATCATATCACCGCCAGTTAGAACACGCCTGTGCTCCTGCTATCGCTTGATACCAATCTGCCATGAACCCCGGGGGAAGGGTGTTAGGGAGGAGGGGAATGCTTGGGGAAAAGCAAAAGTAATATCCAGTATGAGCCGGGATAGCTCAGCAGACTAATGCATTGTAATTTAACTCCAGCTGTCTGCAATTAATAAGTTCAAATCTTGCCGGGCTCAAGGTTGACTCAGCCTTCCATCCTTTCTAAGGTAGGTAAATTGAGGACCCAGTTTGTAGGGGCAATAAGCTGACTTTGTAAAAATATACAAAAGGATGAAGGCTATTGCTTAACGCATTGTAAGCTGCCCTGAGTCTCCGGAGAAGGGCGGCATATAAATCAAATAAAAAAAAATGGAGGTAAGTGGGCCTCTCCAAAATGGTGTTTCAAGGTCGCTCCGCTGTGAGAAGAATGCAGCTGCAAGCCAGCCTACACCCAGAGCGACCAGTTCCAAAACGTCATCTTTGAAACTGATTGGATGATGGGAGGGACCAGCAACGGGAAGTGCCTAAGAGGGGAAAAGATTTCACTTGGGGTTTTGGCACGTGAATTTCAGTTCTGGCTTTGCTTTATTGTATTTCATTTGACCTTTAGTAAACGATACCTTTCTCAACAAATGGAGTCAAGGATCATGCTTGCTTAAAAGTTCAAGTAGAGGCAGAACTGATACCACCCATCTCATCTACGTGTCTCGAGGTGGCTTACAAGTTAAAGCAACAAGAACTGAACTCCTATCAACAAAATTAAAAACAATCCAAACGGTTACCGTATTTTTTGGACTATAAGATGCACTCCCCCCCCCAAAAAAAGTGGGTGGAAATGTCTATGAGTCTTTTAGAGCAAATATTGCAGTGGGAGGGGGGTTGATGCAGTGCCGATCAGCTGTTCTCGGCGGCGGGGATTGCCGTCACCACCTATCGCTGCCGCCGTCCATTCGCACAGATTGGCGGCGAACGGGCAGCGTCAAATGGGCAGATTTTTTTTTCTTGTTTTCCTCCTCTAAAGCTAATGTGTGTCTTATAGTCTGGAGTGTTTTATAGTCTGAAAAATACGGTAAATAACAAAAGCCACACACACCCCAAAAAAAGAATCATAGGAGAGTGCCAACCTACAGCTCGCAAACAATACAGCCTCACTTCTATGAGATCCCCAGGCCTGATGGCCCATCCATGTGTTCGGTGATTTCTAAAGGCCAACAGGGTTACGCCAATCTAACATCATGGCGGATGATGTGCTAAAGCCTGGGTGCCATAGCAGGATAGACTCTGTGTTCTGACCAACGCTTCCTGATACAGTAAAAGCACACAATGAGTCCCAAAAACCCTCTTTTTTATTTCAACGGCTGTGAATCCTGCTTGTTCAGAGCCTGTTCGTTCTCAATCTGTTCCTTCACAGATGAATCCCAAATAGTTTGTAAAGAGCCTGACAGAAGTCTGCCACAGTTCTTCTGATAAGGCTGATAAACACCCACCTTTATCTCCCTTGACACGCTGCCAAGACCTAATTGGCAATTAACTTTGCAAGGCCACACGGAACACGGAGTCAAAACGGAGCTACAGTCTTGAAACCAGCCAGCACGAACAACAGTTGCTTCCTGCAAAGGCCCACCTGCCTTTGCTCCTCCTTTATGTCTTATGGGAGGGGCCAATCATCTCCAAGCCCTACTCCCGAGTCGTCCCTTTTGTTTTAACTGTTCTTGTCTTCTGGTACCTCTGCATATGTGCACGCTGCAATAGATTGGGAGGCAGCAATAGATTGGGGGTGGGACCAAATAAAAGGTAAGAATAACGTGGGGGGGGAGGGCGGGGGGGAGAACCGGTTCGGTGACGTCATATCATCACCGCTACTGGCTCTGCCGAACCGGGAGGAACCCACCACTGGACTTCAGCAATAGAGCGGTCAATGCCTAGAATGCCCTACCTGACTCCGTTGTTACATCCTCAAACCCCCACAGCTTCAACCTTAAACTGTCTATCGTGGACCTCACCCCATTCATAAAAAGGTCCGTAAAGGGGGCATACATAAGCGCACCAGCGTGTCCACCATCCCTGTCCTACTGTCCCCATTTATCGGTATTTACCTCTTTGTTCATGTTTATGTTCATACTTGTTACCTTATATATGTTTGACAAACAAACAAACAAACAAATAAATAAATATACTTGTAATATGTACTTATTTTTTATATCTTCTGCTTTCTTCCAGGGACTTTCGTCCTTGATGCATGTCGTGTCCCCAGAACTGAAGGGACTTGTCAACCCTGTGAAAACAACACTTATTCAAAACACTCAAATTCCTTTGTTTCCTGCTTTAGTTGCAGAGCCTGCAGGATTTTAGGTATTAAGGATGGAGACAATTTTATTTATTTATTTATTTTATTATTGTATTTATTTAGTTTGTTAGATTTTTATCCCACTTTGTTACTGTATAGGTCACTCAAGGCAGCAAACTTGCAAAAAACTCTTTCATCTCCTTTTTCTTTTTCATTTCCCCCATAGCAACGATCTTCTGATTGTTTTCTTATCTTTTCCTAGCTTTCTTATCTAAGGTAGGACTAGAACTCACTGTCTCCCAGTGATTAGCCAAAGTCACCTAGCCAGCTTTCACGTCTAAATTGGGACTAGAACTCACCGCCTCCCGGTGATTGGCCAAAGTCTCCCAGCCAGCTTTCACACCTAAGGTGGGACTAGAACTCACCGTCTCCCGGTTATGGCCAAAGTCTCCCAGCCAGCTTTCACGCCTAAGGTGGGACTAGACCTCACCGTCTCCCGGTGATTGGCCAAAGTCTCCCAGCCAGCTTTCACGCCTAAGGTGGGACTAGAACTCACCGTCTCCCGGTGATTGGCCAAAGTCTCCCAGCCAGCTTTCACACCTAAGGTGGGACTAGAACTCACCGTCTCCCGGTGATTGGCCAAAGTCTCCCAGCCAGCTTTCACACCTAAGGTGGGACTAGAACTCACCGTCTCCCGGTTATGGCCAAAGTCTCCCAGCCAGCTTTCACGCCTAAGGTGGGACTAGACCTCACCGTCTCCCGGTGATTGGCCAAAGTCTCCCAGCCAGCTTTCACGCCTAAGGTGGGACTAGAACTCACCGTCTCCCGGTGATTGGCCAAAGTCTCCCAGCCAGGTTTCACACCTAAGGTGGGACTAGAACTCACCGTCTCCCGGTGATTGGCCAAAGTCTCCCAGCCAGCTTTCACACCTAAGGTGGGACTAGAACTCACCGTCTCCCGGTGATTGGCCAAAGTCTCCCAGCCAGCTTTCACACCTAAGGTGGGACTAGAACTCACCGTCTCCCAGTGATTGGCCAAAGTCTCCCAGCCAGCTTTCACACCTAAGGTGGGACTAGAACTCACCGTCTCCTGGTGATTGGCCAAAGTCTCCCAGCCAGCTTTCACACCTAAGGTGGGACTAGAACTCACCGTCTCCCGGTGATTGGCCAAAGTCTCCCAGCCAGCTTTCACGCCTAAGGTGGGACTAGAACTCACCGTCTCCCGGTGATTGGCCAAAGTCTCCCAGCCAGCTTTCACACCTAAGGTGGGACTAGAACTCACCGTCTCCCAGTGATCGGTCAAAGTCATCTAACCATCTTTCATGTCTAAGGCGGGACTAGAACTCACCAACTCCCAATTTCTAGCCTCATGACATAACTACTAGACCAAACTGGTTTGCATCTTATATTTGAAGTAATATATTTGATATATTACTATATTTATAATATATTTATAAATGCAACGAATTGAAGAAATGAAATGAAACCTGAGAATGCCTTTTATGGAAAAATTTCACCCATTGCATTCTAAGAAGGAATTCACATGTCACACTAAGCTGAAATGAAATGTAATTTGGTAATTCAACCACCTATGCTTTTCTCAAGAAATCATGGTTAAGGATATTTTGGACAAACCATGCCATGAAGTCTTAGTCCGAGTCTTCTTTGCTGCTCAGAACTGCTGCTTTTAATTCTAAATTTGTGATATGTTCTCTTTCCAGATGAAGTCGAAATAAAAAAGTGTACTGCAACCACAAATACCAGGTGTGCTTGCAAGAATGGTACTTTCTGCTCACCTGGCCAGCCATGTGAAACGTGCACTAAATGTATGACAAGGTCAGCATTATTCGACACTGCTTAAAATGCTTGAGAGAACTAATTTGGCATTCTCTATTCTGACACACACAAAAATTTGGGAGAGGTTTGGAGAAGATGGCCTGGATGGGGAGGGAAGAGCAGGCTAGAGGAGGGAAAAAGCAGACAGTTCCGCTACCAAATTTCCAAGCTCTGAGCAATCCCTGATGATGTGTTCATAAAGGAACTCAGAATACAGAATAGAGCCGAGGTGGCGCAGTGGTTAGAGTGCAGTACTGCAGCTAATTCAGCTGACTGCTAGTTCAGCAGATCAGCGGATCAAATCTCACCGGCTCAAGGTTGACTCAGCCTTCCATCCTTCCGAGGTGGGTAAAATGAGGATCCAGATTGTTGGGGGCAATATGCTATTTAGTATACTGTCGATTGTTGTAAGCCGCCCGAAGTCCTCGGAGAGTGGGCGGCATGGAAATATGATTAATAAATAAATAATAACCGAGTTGGAACAGGGCTGTGGAGTCGGGAGATAAATGTTCCGACTCCGACTCCTCAGTTTTTTGTACTTCCGACTCCGACTCCCCGACTCCGACTCCTCTGTATTAATATGCGAATGTATTCACTTCTTGTGAATTGGGACATTTAAACTTGCTTTTTTAAAAATTCCAATCTAAATTTAGTAGGAGTCGGAGTCGGTGCATTGTTTGCCGACTCCGACTCCAGGTACCCAAAATTTCCTCCGACTCCTCGACTCCGACTCCACAGCACTGAGTTGGAAGCAACCTTGGAGGACTTCTAGCCCAACCCCATGCTCATGCAGGAGGCTGTCTATCATTCTAGACCAGAAGTGTCAAATTCAAGGCCAGATCTGGCCCACGGGATGCTTAGATCTGGCCCACAGGACCTCCCTGGAAACAGCAAACGACTGGCTCGCAGTGCTCCTGCCAACGAAAACAGATCTACGGAGGGCCGTGGGTAGGCCTCTCGAGCTCCGTTTTCCCTGGCAGAGGGTTGAAGGAGGCCATCGCAGCCAAAAACGGAGCTCAGGAGCCTGTTTTCATTGGCCGAGTGCTCGGGCCACCACAGGCGCCCCTACACGAGTGACGTCGAGCTGGCCATGCCCACCCCTGTCCCCAAGGTCAAACCCAATTCTGATGCGGCCCTCAATGAAATTGAGGTTGACACCCCTGTTCTAGACGAATGGCTGTCCAACCTCTTCTTGAAAACCTTCAATGATGGAATACCCAGAACGTCTGGAGGCAAACTTTTCCACTGATTAATTCTTCTCACCGTTATGAAATTTCTCTTTAGTTCTTGGTCGGATCTCTCCTTGATAAGCTTCCATCCATTGCTACTTGTCCTGCCCTCAGGCGCTTTGGAGAATAAGTTACCCCTTCTTATTTATGACAGCCATTTTCTCATGTAACGATTGTATTTTACCCTACTCTCACTTTGAATGGTTTGTTTAGCATTTTGTTGGTAATAGGTATGTGAACCTGTAGGTTGATATGGCCTCTAAGCTAATCTGTGTGTGTGTGTGTGTCTTTGTACAAAGCTGCAAGTTGAAGCATAAAAGCACCACATCCATGCAGAGACTTGGCTCAACTGCTTTGAAGCCATCTTGAGGTGACCAGTTGAGAATAAGCTGAGTTTTGATGAGCATCATATGTAGATTTGCCCTACCGGTAGATCAGTATGGAGATTTCTCAGGCAGCTACACTGAGCTTTTAAGATTCTGAGTGACACTTTTTGAAGCAGTGGTTGTGCACAGATTTACGTTTGGAAGTATTATGGAGGAGGAGAAGGAGAAGGAGAAGAAGAAGAAGGAGAAGGAGAAGGAGAAGGAGAAGGAGAAGGAGAAGAAGAAGAAGAAGAAGAAGAAGAAGAAGAAGAAGAAGAAGAAGAAGAAGAAGAAGAAGAAGAAGAAGAAGAAAAAGAAGAAGAAGAAGAAGAAGGAGAGAGAGAGAGAGAGAAGGAGAAGGAGAAGGAGAAGGAGAAGGAGAAGGAGAAGGAGAAGGAGAAGGAGAAGGAGAAGCCGCCATGCTCAGAAATAATACCTCAAACTGAAAAGGCGATTGTATCTACTCTGGAAAAATTGCCTTAGCAGATAAGAGAATTCTCTGCTTCAAGAAATTGATCTCAAGAAACGCATTAGCCTTGTTGACAGCTTCTTGAATACATAACGTCTACAGAGTGGTGAAATTGGCCTGTCGATCACCAGGTGGCAGCTTCATGTTGGCAGTCTATCACAGTAGCATAATGGAAGATCTATCTAAAATTAACAATTCCAGTGACTGCCACAGTACAACCCAACCCTTATGACACCACAGCAACTCTCATCTACTTTTAAGTGCTTATTTTGTTGATATATATGTATATTTCTATGGTATGTCTTGGAAATGTTCTAGATTGCCAAATAACCTAAAATCTTAGGTTAGGTTATCCCAAAGGTGCTTTTTCAAGAGGCAACTGGACTTTCTGGTTTTTCTTCGAAGGTGTTTAGCTTCTCATCCAAGAAGCTTCTCCTTCAGCTCTTCTTCAGAAACTTCTTGGATGAGAAGCGAAACGTCTTCAAAGAAAAACCCAAGAAAGTCCAGTTGCCTCTTGAAAAAAGCACCTTTGGGACAACCAGGACCTGGATGACTCAGAATCTCTATAGACGTTTAGGATAGGTTACCATCAGTGGTGGGATTCAAGTAATTTAACAACCGGTTCTCTGCCCTAATGATTTCTTCCAAAAACCAGTTTACCAAACTGCTCAGAAAATTAATGATCGGTTCTCCCGAAGTGGTGCGAACCGGCTGAATCCCATCACTGGTTACCATCAGTTAGCTGCTGCTTCTAGTGGTTCAATGTTCAGTAATTCGAATTGATTCTTGTTCAGTCTGAAAGGTGACCAAGTCCTTCAATGTCCGTTGTCTTTTTGTGTCCGTAGCTGTGGTCCTGGAGAAAAGAAGGTGCAGGATTGCACGCCTACAAGTGACATCCAGTGTGTTCCTGATACTACCTCATCACCTCCAACAAGTAAGTTCCTTGCATACTGGTAGAACAGTATTAGTGGATGTGAGATTATGATGCTAGTCCTAAAATGAATGTTCATACAGAACAAGAAGGAAGTGTAACAAAATATGGCAATGGTTCTACAGAGGAATTATTGAGACTGTCATCTGCACCTCTATAACTGTCTGGTTTGGTTCTGCAATCCAACAAGACAGACACAGACTTCAGAGGATAATTAGAAGTGCAGAAAAAACAATGGCTACCAACCTGCCTTCCATGGAGGACCTGTATGCTGCACGAGTCAAAAAGAGGGCTGTGAAAATATCTACAGACCCCTCGCATATTGGACATAAACTCCTACCCTCAAAACGACGCTATAGAGCACTGCACACCAGAACAACTAGACACAAGAACAGTTTTTTCCCCAAACGCCATCACTCTGCTAAACAAATAATTCCCTCAACACCATCAAACTATTCACTAAGTCTGCATTACTATTACCGTATTTTCCGGCGTATAAGACGACTTTTTAACCCAGGAAAATCATCTCAAAAGTCGGGGGTCGTCTTATACGCCGGGTACCCGAATCTGAGTTGCTGGCGCTGACTGATGACACTTTGGGAGCGCCGGCAACATTGAGGGGAAGCTGTACTCTGAATTAGTTCCAACCTACAAGAGGTGCCAGGCAGTGCGCGGCCCACGAGAAAGGAACGCGTCCCCACTCTACCCCGGAATTCGGGTCACCTTCCTTCCTTTCCCAGCAGTCCACGGTGAAAGCGGCGGCGCGGTCGACCTGGGCCAGCGCCTTGCACACCTGGCTCTGCGTCTCCATTATGAGAAGCTCCATGCGACTTCGCATGTCTCCGCCCCAGTCGCGCAGCTCTCGCAATCCGCTCACCGGAGGAGCCATGAAGTGCTCGCACCGCCTTGCCAGATCTTCCTCGTCCTCCTTTCCCCACGGCTTTTCCCGTTGTAATTGCTGCTGCTGCTGCCGCCGAGGCTGCTCCTTCATCTCCGCCCACCGCACCAGACCCAGCCCGGCCAGCACCGCCGTGGCTCCCGCAGTCCAAGAAGATCGGCACCTGGGCTCGCAGGCGAAGGGTGGGAGTGCGCAGCGATCGACGCTGATCGCAGCCACCCACCATCGCCCCAACGGGAAGAACCGCCCGGCAGCGATTCCAAGGAGCCCGAAGCGAACATCCTGGAGCAGCACGGGCTGGCCCAGAGGCTTAAACCCTGGGAGCCCAGATGCCGAACCCCGCACAGCAGAAAAGACATGACAGCCAGTGCCCAGTTCCTTCTGCAGCCATCCGTATCAGCGTCCGGGCTCGCAGGCAAAGGGTGGGAGTGCGCAGCGCATTTTCCTGGCTTGGCGCCGATCCGGACGGCTGCAGAACAAACTGGGCACCGGCTGTCATGTCTTTTCTGCTGTGCGGGGTTCGGCACCTATGCTCCCAGGGTTTAAGCCTCCGGGCCAGCCCGTGCTGCTCCAGGATGTTAGCTTCAGGCTCCTTGGAATCGCTGCTGGGTGGTTCTTCCCGTTGGGGCGATGGTGGGTGGCTGCGAGCCTGGAAGAGGTGGTGAAATGCAGAGCAATACCTCGTGGGGAAGGAGTCCGCCGTGGCTCCCGCAGTCCAAGCGACGCCGATCGCTGCCACCCACCATCGCCCCAACGGGAAGAACTGCCCGGCAGCGATTCCAAGGAGCCCGAAGTGAACATCCTGGAGCAGCACGGGCTGGCCCAGAGGCTTAAACCCCGGGAGCCCAGGTGCCGAACCCCGCACAGCAGAAAAGACATGACAGCCGGTGCCCAGTTCGTTCTGCAGCCGTCCGGATCAGCGTCCGGGCTCGCAGGCAAAGGGTGGGAGTGCGCAGCGCATTTTCCTGGCTTGCTTACCTTAGCTCAGTGGTTGGGGGGGTCAAACAACCCTTTCACAGGGGTTTTGATGGTGGTGCAATACAGAAAAACGAGCGCAGCCCTCGCCATCCGGAATGAATGGTGCTGTTGTGGCGGTGGGGGAGGGGGCGGCAGAAGCGGGAAGAAGCGGCGTTTGCGATGGCTGGAAGCTGTGGGAGTGAAGCACAACTTTCATTTGTATGGCAGCAGCATTCCGCCTTGGTATATTTGTGTCAGGAGTGGCGCAAGGCAGCCTTTGTTTCCTGCTGCCTGGGACTCAGAGTGGTAAATGGCGTCTGATCCGGAGAGCTGCTGGATTTTGCTCTCTAATCCGGATGCCAAATCGGCCCCCTGCAAACTCTCGTCTCTCAAGGAGCGCTCCCTGAAGCGGGGCTGGAAACTTTGGTTGGACTGCTTGAGAGGAGAGCTTGCAGGGGGGCGATCTGATGTCTGCAATGGAGAGCGGCATCCGGCTTTTTCTCTCCGCTGTAAGAGCGCTGTAAGAGTGGCAGCCCTCATCTCCTAATGCTTGGGACTGCAAAATCCAGCTGCTCCCTGGACCAGTCACCATTTACCGCTCCGAGTCCCAAACATTAGGAGATGAGGGCTGCCGTTCTTACAGCGCTCTTACAGCGGAGAGAAAAAGCCGGATGCCGCTCTCCATTGCAGACACCAGATCGCCCCCCTGCAAGCTCTCCTCTCAAGCAGTCCAACCAAAGTTTCCAGCCCCGCTTCAGGGAGCGCTCCTCGAGAGACGAGAGTTTGCAGGGGGCCGATTTGGCATCCGGATTAGAGAGCAAAATCCAGCAGCTCTCCGGATCAGACGCTATTTACCGCTCTGAGTCCCAAGCAGCAGGAAACAAAGGCTGCCTTGCGCCGCAAATATAGCAAGGCAGAATCCTGATGCTGCACTTTCAGCAGACAGATGAGGGCTGCCTTGGCCATCGGCTGGCGCAAATATACCAAGGCGAATGCTCATGCCGCACAAGTTCAAGTAGTGCTTCGCTCCCACACTTCTTCCGGCCCTCAGTCTCTCAGGGAGATGCTTGACTTCCTCTCAGCCCCAAGACACTGGCTGGCCCATGAGATGAGAGAGAGAGAGAATGAGAGAGAAAGAGAGAATCAGAATAAGACAGAGAGAGAAAGAGACAAAGAATGAAAGAGAGAGAAAGACAGAATGAAAGAGAATGAGAGAAAGAGACAGAGAGAATCAGAGAGAGAGAGTGAGAGAGAGAGAATGAGAGACAGAGAAAGAGACAGAATCAAAGAGAACCAAAGAATCAGAGAGAGAATGAGAGAGAGGGAGAGAAAATGAAAGAGAATCAGAGTGAGAGAATCAGAATGAGAGGGAGAGAGTGGGGAGAGAGAGAAAGAGGGGGAGAGAGAAAGAGAATGAGAGAGAAAGAGAAAGAGCGGGAGGGAGAAAGAGAAAGGGGGACAGAGAGAAAGAGAGAATGAGAGAGAGTGGGGGGGAGAGAAAGAGAGTGGGAGAAAGAGAGAGAGAAAGGGGGGAGAAAGAGAATGAGAGAGAAAGAGTGGGAGAGAGAGAGAAAGAATGAGAAAGAGGGGAGAGAAAGGGAAAGAGTGGGGGAAAGAAAGAATGAGAAAGAGAGGGGGAGAGAGAAAGAGAATGAGAGAGGGGGAGAGAGAAAGAGAGAATGAGAAAGAGTGGGAGAGAAAGAAAGAGAGGGAGAGAGAGAGAAAGCGAAAATGAGAGAGAGAGAAAGAGAGAATGAGAGAGAAAGAGTGGGAGACAGAGAGAGAGAGAGACAGAGAGGATGGAGAGTGCCTGAAGGACCCCATCCCGTACTGGGAGTCCAGGTGCTTCAGCAAGCGGGGCACTGGATTCGTATTAGTGGTCTGCGAAATTTAAAATTATGAAGTTGGTGGTCCCTGAGGTCCAAAAGGTTGGGGACCCCTGGCCTAAGACCATCGGAAAACAAATATTTTTGATGGTTTTAGGAATAACTTTATCGTTGGGGGTCACCACAACATGAGGAACTGTATTAAAGGGTCGCGGCATTAGGAAGGTTGAGAACCACTGCCTTAGCTGCTTGCCTTGCTTCGCTTGCCTGAATCCATTCCATCAGCAAGCAACTCCCTGCCTACAACCAAGCAGGCAGGGAGTTGTGGACTTCAACTCCCAGAATTCCTCAGCCAGCAAAACAAAGCTGGCTGAGGAATTGTGGGAGTTGAAGTCTACAAGTCTTAAAGTTGCCAAGGTGGGAGACCCCTGTTCTATTGGGTACGTAAGTTTTTTTCCCCTTTGGGATCTTTAAAAAAAAATAGTTAATTGGGTTTTTTTTAAGTTCTTTTTTAGACCTAGCCATTTAAAGTTTAGGAAGTTTTAAATTTAGCTTTCATATAAAAATAAAATAAAATAAAATAAAATAATATTTGTGCAGCTTTCTGAGATTTAGTGTGTTTCTGTAGTGTTTCACTCTAACTACACAAACACACAAAATCTCACAAAGCTGTATGTGGAATTTTGTGTGTGTAAAGTGTGAAAGTTGGGTTTTGGGGCTTTTTGTGGCTGTGTGAAGTTCCTGCTTGTTGCAGGGGCCATTTTGGGTCTAGCACAGCTACTTTTACATTGTGGATGAGCCAGTTGTGTTGTGTTGTGTTGTGTTTTGTGTGTGTGTAAAGCGTGAAAGTTGTTTTTTGGGGCTTTTTGGGGCTGTGTGAGGTTCCTGCTTGTTTCAGGGGCCATTTTGGGTCAAGCACAGCTGCTTTTACATTGTGGGTGAGCCAGTTGATGTTTTTTTAATTTTTATTTGGTGTGCGTTGGAAGAGGGATAGTCTTATACGGCGAGTATAGCCCAAACCCTATATTTTAACAGGAAAAGTAGGGGGTCGTCTTATACGCCCAGTCGTCTTATACGCCGGAAAATACGGTACTATTAGTCTTCTCATCGTTCCTATCACTCATCTCCTCCCACTTATGACTGCATGACTGTAACCTTGTTGCTTGTATCCTTACGATTTATATTGATTGTTTCCTAGTATGATTTGATTTCTTATTTGTACCCTATGACTATCATTAAGTGTTGTACCTTATGATTCTTGATGAATGTATCTTATCTTTTTATGTACACTGAGAGCATACGCACCAAAGACAAATTCCTTGTGTGTCCAATCACACTTGGCCAATAAAGAATTCTATTCTGTTCTGTTCTGTTCTGTTCTGTTCTGTTCTGTTCTGTTCTGTTCTAATGATTCTTGATGAATGTATCTTGTCTTTTTATGTACACTGAGAGCAAATGCACCAAAGACAAATTCCTTGTGTGTCCAATCACACTTGGCCAATAAAGAATTCTGTTCTGTTCTGTTCTGTTCTGTTCTGTTCTGTTCTAATGATTCTTGATGAATGTATCTTGTCTTTTTATGTACACTGAGAGCAAATGCACCAAAGACAAATTCCTTGTGTGTCCAATCACACTTGGCCAATAAAGAATTCTGTTCTGTTCTGTTCTGTTCTGTTCTGTTCTGTTCTGTTCTAATGATTCTAGATGAATGTCTCTTGTCTTTTTATGTACACTGAGAGCAAATGCACCAAAGACAAATTCCTTGTGTGTCCAATCACACTTGGCCAATAAAGAATTCTATTCTGTTCTGTTCTGCTCTAATGATTCTTGATGAATGTATCTTGTCTTTTTATGTACACTGAGAGCAAACGCACCAAAGACAAATTCCTTGTGTGCCCAATCATGCTCGGCCAATAAAGAATTTTATCTATCTATCTTCTATCTTATCACATGTCCACCATAAATGATAAAAGATCCCATCCATCCATCCATCCATCCATCCATCCATCCATCCATCCATCCATCCATCCATCTATCTATCTATCTATCTATCTATCTATCTATCTATCTGTCATGAGAGCTCTAGGTTAGAATACTTCCTGACCAAACAGATTACTTGATTCCTGTTGTCCTCTGGCTTTTGAACCAGCATATGGTCCCTTCTCTGGAAAAGAACCAGCATTCTGTATCTGCTAAACAGGCAAAGTTCTTTGGAAGTTGCTCTCATATTAGATGGGGCTGATTCCAGAAAAGGGTTTGTAGATTAAAGTCATTACCTCACATTTTACTGCAAGCCTTTCAGGAGCCAGGATAGGACCCAGTTTGAAGAAGCATACCATCCAAACGATCAGTCTATACCTGCCTTTTTTTTTCTCCTTTCATGTTAAGAGTCCCCTGGACAAGGAGATCACTTGGTCTGGCTTTTTGTGCTTGTTCCGGTGCTGTTTGCGGTGGTTCTGGGCTTGGTGATATTCTGCTGTTGGAGAAAAAACACAAACTTTAGAGAAGGTAAGAATAATCTTTTTGTTTCCCCCGAGACTCAAAATGATTAAGATGTTTAGCATAGCCCTTGCTATGATAGTGTGATATGCAAAGAACTTTTTATCTATTAAAAAAACAAAAAACAAAGAAGGGAACATCTACAGCACTGTTTCTCAACTTTGGAAGCTTGAAGATGGGTGGACTTCAACTCCCAGAATCCCCCAGCCAGCAGCGCTGGCTGGGGGATTCTGGGAGTTGAAGCCCACCCATCTTCAAGCTACCAAGGTTGAGAAACACTGCTCTACAGTATTTAGAAGTTATAGAGTTCTAGAATTCTGCCATCCTGCTCTGCATCATATCATCTTTCTCAACCTTGGGAATTTGAAGAAGTGTGGACTTGAAGTCTCAGAATTCTAGAGAACAGGGGGACAGAATTGATGCATAGCTCTTAATCCTGCCCAATGGCTTCCCTTCCTTCTTTCCTTCCCCGTAATCACTGCTACTCATGTCCCAATGTATTTTTTCCCCTTGTTTTTAACATTTTTTATCTGCAACATCCACGGTCACTGGGAATTGAGTGGCATAATAATAATAATAATAATAATAATAATAATAATAATAATAATAATAATAATAATAATAATAGCCTTTTAAAGGCAACCAAAACAAAAGCAGAATATAAGAAAGAAGTAATTGAGCAGCGAGCTGAAAATTGGAAAAGCAAAGCTCTGCATGGCCAATACTTTAAAAATATTGAAAGCAAAGCTGACCAGAAACTAACTTGGAACTGGTTAAGATCAGGAGTACTGAAAAAAGAAACAGAAAGCTTTATTTTGGCAGCTCAAGAACAAGCCCTAGCCACAAACTGTATGAAGGCAAAAATTCAACATGTTACCACCAACAGCAAATGCCGCCTCTGCAATGAAAAAGAAGAGACAGTTGACCACCTGATCAGTGGGTGCAGCAAAATTTCACAAACTGACTACCTACAACGCCATGACCGTGTTGCTAAAATCATTCACTGGAAATTGTGCCAGAAGTTTGGATTTGAGTACAGCAAAAACCACTGGGAACATCAGGTTGAGAAAGTTTTAGAGAATGAGAAACTCAAGATCTTGTGGGACTTTAGGATTCAGACTGACAGGCACTTGGTCCACAACACACCTGACATAACAATAGTTGAAAAGAAAAAAGTATGGTTCATTGACATTGCAATACCTGGTGATGCACGAATTGAAGATAAGCAGCAAGAAAAAATCACAAAGTACCGGGACTTACAAATTGAAGTTGAGCGACTGTGGAAAAAGAAATCGTGTGTTGTCCCGATTGTAATTGGAGCCCTCGGAGCAATACCCAAAGGGCTACCCCGCTATTTAGAAATTCTAAATTTGCCAGACTTGAACATTTTGACTCTACAAAAAACCACCTTACTCGGAACAGCTTACGTCCTCCGACGATACCTTAACAGTTCCTAGGTCCTTGGTTAGGACTCGAGCTGCTGAGCTATTAACCAGCCTCAAAGGCTGTGAATCTCACTAAAGATTAACCAATAAATAATAATAATAATAATAATAATAATAATAATAATAATAATAATAATAATAATATTATTATCCAATTAGCGTCCTGACTCCAAATCTTCCCTCCCCTCCCCTCCCATTCCCTTCTTTTCCCTTCCCCCCATCCCCTTCCCTCCTGTTCCCTTCCCTTTCCCCGTCCCATTCCCTCCCTTTCCTTCACCCGTCCCCTTCCCTTCCTCCTGTCCCCTTCCCTTTCCCTTCCCAATAGCCTTTCAGCCTGGGCTTTTTTCCATTCTCGCCAACTACCTACCCGCAAATCCTTCTCCATCTGGAACTAAGCAGTCCTAGTTTGTTCTGTATTTTATAACAAATGTGCATATTCCATTTTGGACTCAGCTTTTCAAAACAGCTGTTCCATGCATGTAACAGTTCAGTGCATGAATCATTTAGGAGGCCCCGACTTAAATGTCCTTATAATGTATCTATACTGTATGTGGTCACTGCTCTGCTGGCTAATTTTCTCTAAACCATCCTGTTTTGTCTTACAGTTTGCATAGGTTTCTGGACCAACAAGGTAAGAACTGTTTCCTCCTCTGGAGATGGGAAAGGGGATTTATTTTTTTCAGTTTCACAACTTCGTATGAGAAGCTGTCTTATAACTTGGGAACTCTGTCCATGTTGCTCATTTTTGCCTAACTCTTTTCAGTCTGTTAAGTGTGATTCTTTTTCGGTTTTCCCTCCCTAGTCATAGAATATAGGATATTTTGCATACATAAAATACCGTACTTTTTGGAGTATAAGACACATTTTCTCCCCCCCTAAAAGAGGGTGGAAATCAGTGGTGGGTTCCGCCCGGTTCCGCCGAGCTGGTAGCGGTGACGATATGATGTCACTGAACTGGTTCTGCCCCCCCGCCCTCCAGAACGTTATTCTTACCTTTTATTTGGCCCCACCCCCAATCTATTGCTGCCTCCTGAGTCCCAGCTGATGGGCTATAAGGAAAAACTGTTTAAACTCTTGCCGCGGGGCTTCAAAGGGCCGCCCTACAGCTGATCAGTGGTAAAAGGCAGTTTGGTGGTAGACCGGTGCCTGCAAAAATACATGGGTAGACTAGTGCCTGCAAAAATACATGGGTAGACTAGTGCCTACAAAAATAAATGGGTAGACCAGTGCCTGCAAAGATACATGAGTAGATCAGTGCCTGCAAAAATACATGAGTAGATTAGTGCCTGCAAAAATAAATGGGTAGACCAGTGCCTGCAGAAATACATGAGTAGATCAGTAAGAGCCTTGGTAGTACAGGGGTTTAAGGCACCCTGTTATTAAGCTGGTTATTAAGACCAGCTGCCTGCAATTACTGCAGGGTTCGAATCTCGCCAAGGCTCAAGGTTGACTCAGCCTTCCATCCTTTCTAAGGTAGGTAAATTGAGGACCCAGTTGTGGGGGCAATAAGCTGACTTTGTATAAATATACAAAAGGATGAAGGCTATTGCTTAGCGCATTGTAAGCTGCCCTGAGTCTTCGGAGAAGGGCGGCATATAAATCAAATTAAAAAAAAAAAAAGTGCCTGCAAAAATAAATGCATAGACCAGTGCCTGCAAAAATAAATGGGTAGACCAGTGTCTGCAAAAATAAATAGGTATACGGGTAAAGCTTTGCAAGCAGTTAAAAGCCTGGTAGACCAGTACCTCTGCTAAATCCTAAAGAATTGTCACATGACCATCAAGCCACGCCCACAAAATAAGCCACGCCCACAGAACCGGTAGTAAAAATTTTTAGAACCCATCCCTGGTGGAAATGTTGGTATGTCTTATACACTGAATACAGCCATTTTTGGCCTCCTGCAACCCCACCTCGCACATGGGCCTGTTTTTCGCAAAAACCGGGCCTGCAGAGGGTTTGGGAGGCCTGCAGAGTGCTCCTGGGGGCTGGGGAGGGCAAAAACCTGACGCATGAGGTGTTTGGGAGGCCAAAAAGAGGCCCGTTTTTCTCAAAAACGGGAGAGTTTTTGCCCTTCCTGGCCCCCTGGAGCACTCTGCAGGCCTCTCAAACCCTCTGTACATCCCGTTTTTTGCGAAATGATAAATATTGGAGGAGTAAGAAGAAGACACAAAAGATGTACTCAGATAATACACTGTCAGCACGTCAAGATGCATTTATCCTAGTGCTGACATGAGAAGAACGCAGGCGTCTGCGATGGGACGGTTGTCTTTCACCTACTTATTTCCTCTGGAGATAATGTCCCCTAGGAGATGGATGGGAGGGGGGAAATTCTTTGAATTGGAACAGTAGATTAGGGGTGAATGATTGGGAAGATGGCCAATGAATGCAGAGGAGTGGGGGAAGGAAGAGGAGGGGTTTTGGGGCAGCACGTCAGTGCCGGCTGCAACGAGTCAGTGAAAAAAGTGCTGTGCTTAATAAAATGGAAGTTTGTTTTATAAAAGACTTTGTTTGCGATGCAATTTATTTGAAGACAGCCTGAAACCCTGACATACACTGAATGATTGATTATGCATTGTATGTTTGTTTGTCTATAAAATAAAATAAAAAAAACCCTTCCTAGGATTGGTTAAATTAATTCAGTATTAATTTAACAGGAAATTAATCTTAACAGTCACATTATTTTGCTGAAGTAATCACAATGGTTAATGAGCCTCCACAAAACTTGGGCCACCGTATTTCTCAGAATTCACTCTTAACTTTGTTGAATATTGCTACCCACCGTATCCTCCTTCTAAAATAAACAATAGCTAAAGTGGCATCTTCTGTTAAATGGGGAAGAATGAATATTTGGAATGTCATTTAATTCAGTAAGACTTGCTTTTTATACCTAAAGGGATTTGCGCACTCTTGAAATCCAGAGACAAAGTCATATTTTATTTTTTAGAGCTAGTAAATCCACGGTATCTTTGTTTTTTGCAAGCGTACCCAATTCCTCCAATATCTGCCGAAGAAGTCCAGTCCAGAAGTAAGCGAAGAACATGACAACATGTTGAACACGCAAAGGATGGAGAAATCCAAAATTCCTTCGCCCAGTCCTAGCACTGCCAATGGACAAGCACCAGAAATAATGAATCCGTTAAGAGCTTCCGCACCAGAGGAGGTAACCAAAATGTAAAAATGTTGTGATCGTTAGTCACACCCGTATTCACAACCACGGTATTTTTTGGAGTATAAGACACTCCGGACTATAAGACGTGCCTACCTTTTTTGGGGAGGAAAATAAGAAAAGAAAAATCTGCCTGTGCCTCCCAGTAATTTGCCTCTTTGCAGCAAACAGCAAACTGCCTGTTTCATTTTCATTTTCAACACATCCTGATTAGCACAAGAAAAAAAAAAATCTGCCTTTGCCTCCCAGCAATTTGCCTCCTTGCAGGAAATGGGGCACGGCAATAGGCAATTCCTGCAGCCTGAAACAGCTGATGGTCGGGAGGCCGATCCAACTGACAATCAGCTGCTTGTGCTGAAGCTGAAACGGGCTGTTTGCTGCAGGGAGGCAAATTACTGGGAGGCAGAGGCCAAAGGGTGGGGGCTGGTGGGTGGGCGGGCCTACATTCGGTATATAAGATGCATCCAAATTTTCACCCTCTTTTAGGGAGGGGGGGAGTGCGTCTTACACTCCGAAAAATATGGTATTTATTTATTGAATAAATTACGATGGTCCTGAAAAAAGTCCTCTCCTCACAAATTACAACCATTGTAACCTCCCATGGTCATACAATTGTAATTCACCCACTTGGTAATTGGCTTCCATTTACAACCATTTGCAATGTCCTATGATAGCAATAGCAATAGCATTTAAGCTTATATACCACTCCACAATGCTTTATAGCACTCTCTGGGTGGTTTATAATGTAAGCACATTGCCCCTCAACAATTTGGGTCCTTGTTTTATTGACCTTGGAAGGATGGAAGATCGAGTCCATCTTGAACCGGTCAGGATCGAACTCCATGCTGTGGGCAGAGTTTTCCTGCAATATTGCATTCTAACCACTGGGCATGTGGTATACCACGTGATCGTAGCTTTTGGCCTTTTTTTGCCCGCTTCTGGCAAAAGCACCCATTCAGAACAATCGGTTTGCACTTAAACCATGGTGATTTGCTTAACAATCATCATAAAAATGATGATCATAAGATTGGGTCCAGCTTGACCTATAACTGCAATGACTTACTTCCTAATAATAGCACTTAGACTTATATACCGCTTTACAGTGCTTTACAGCCCTCTCTAAGCAGTTTTACAGAGTCAGCCTCTTGCCCCCAACAATCTGGGTCCTCATTTTACTGACCTCGGAAGGATGGAAGGCTGAGTCAACCTTGAGCCTGGTGAGAGTCGAACTGCCAAATTGCAGGCAGCCGGCGGTCAGCAGAAGTAGCCTGCATTACTGCACTCTAACCACAGCACCACTACGGCTCGTACGATAGAAATTCCAATCCCAATTATGGTTGTAAATTGAAGACAATCTTCAAAATTTCTGTTTTGTTCAGCGGGCGTGGTGGCTCAGCTGTCAAAAGATGCTGAGTTTGTCAGCTGGAAAGCTGACAGCCCGGGTTCAAGACCCGAGTGCCGCGTGATGGCGTGAGCTCCCGTTACTTGCCCCAGCTCCTACCTACTTAGCGGTTTGAAAGCATGTAAATGCAAATAGATAAATAGGTACCACTTCAGTGTGAAAGTAACAGCGTTCCATGCATATTAGTGTATAGTCATGCCGGCCACATGACAATGGAAATGTCTTCAGAGAACACAAGCTCTGCTGCTAAGAAACGGAGATGAGCACCACCCCCTAGAATCAGACATGACTGCACAGGAGAAACCTTTACCTTTTCTATTCTTTCTCATTATAGGAAGGTCGAGAACATGCAGTAATGAGGAAATTAGTTCCTAGAAATTGCAACGACAAAACAAAAAGTAAGTGGTCTGAAATTCTTGCAAGTTAATCGGGATTCTTTTTGCCAGAACACTCCTTGAAATATAATGGTATTAGGTATATAGGAACTAGAACATGGGACAATAGGGCTGGAAATGATCTTGGAGGACTTCTAGTCCAACCGCCTGAGACTCTATATTATTGTGGACAAATGGTTGACCAATCTTTTCTTGAAAACCTCCAGTGATGGAGCACCCATAACTTCTGGAGGTAAATTGTTCTACTGTTGATTATTCACACTGACAGGTAATTTAGTTCTCCCTCTCTTAGTTGGATCTCTCTTTGATAAGCTTCCACCCATTTACTTCTTGTCCTTCTGGATTCACAATCCAACACTGTACTGTAGTCTTTCCTGTTAAAGAGATGCTTCAGAGCAGATTGGTCTTCTCTTTCATTCTTGTTTCCCGGTGACACGTCAAGAGGTGTCAACGTTGCTCATGTTTGAAAACATTTAACAGATTAACAGAGTTGGAAGGGACCTTGTACTGTAGGTCATCTAGTCCAACCCCCCACCTAAGCAGGAGATCCTGCACCATTTCTGACAAATGGCAGTCCAATTTCTTCTTGAAAACCTTCAGAGATGAGGCTCCCACAACTTCCAAAGGCAGCTTAAGTTCCATTGGTTGATCATTCTCACTGTCAGAAAATTCCTCCTTATTTCCAGGTTGAATATCTCCTGGATCAGTTTCCATCCATTATTCCTTGTCTGGCCTTCGGGTGCCTTGAAAAATAGCTTGACCCCCTCCTCTCTGTGGCAGCCCCTCAAATATTGGAAGACTGCTATCATGTCTCCCCTGGTCCTTCTCTTCACTTGACTAGCCATGCCCAGTTCCTGCAACCGTTCTTCGTATGTTTTAGCCTCCAGTCCCCTCATCATCCTGGTTGCTCTTCTCTGCACTTTTTCTAGAGTCTCAACATCTTTTTTGTAGTGTGGTGACCAAAACTGGATGCAGTACTCTAGGTGTGGCCTTACTAAGGCTTTATAGATTGGTATTAGTACCTCCCTTGATCTTGATTGTATCCCTGTTAATGCAATTTAGGATTACATTATACTGCTGGCTCATATTTAACTGATTGTCCACTAAGACTCCAAGATCCCTCTCACAGTTACTGCTATTAAGCCTGGTTTCATCTAGTCTATATGTGTACACACGTATTTACACACATGTAGTTCCCTGTAATTTGTATGGGATGTCCAGTTCTGATAAACTTGTGCTTTCTAAAGTTGGGGGCACTTGTAAAGCGAGCCTGAATAAGCTCTGTTATCAAGGCTAATATTGTGCAGGTTTCTGTAACTCATGGATGTTGGAGTAGAGACATGTATTGGGAGCTTCACGTCTTTCAGTGGCATCCAAGGAAGCCCCTGAAGAACAGTGTCTTCAACCTTGGCAACTTCAAGATAGGTGGGCTTCAACTCCCAGAATTCTCCAGCCAACATGGCTGGTTGGGGAATTCTGGGAGTTGAAATCCGCCTATGTTGAAGTTACCAATGTCGAGAAACATTGACCATAGAGGAAACCACAAACCAAAAACATTGTCCTCTCTCTCATTCCTCCTCCCACAGGGGTGTTTTTCGGTGGATGTGGGAGGGGGATGTGGGTCCCTCTTAAATTCCACAGATTTAAATATGAGTAAATTGTTTAAGAAGTTCTAGTCACATTTCGTCGACACTACTGGTGTCTGTGTTTTTTTAAAGGCAGAATATGGGAAGGCAGGAGCAGACGATGTTTGCTTTTTCAACTAGGCCCGTTTTCCCGTTATTCTAGAAGTGATCAAAGCTGCCTTGTTAAATTTACAGACTGGTTTTTCTGGTTCCTGTGAAACCACAAGGCTATCACTGTCAGAATCTGTTCTGACTTGAAGACACTAGCATGAGCTTAACTTTGGTGGCAGACGTAGCTAGTTTTGCTTGGCTTCGTTTCAGTCTCCATGATCAACTTTACGGTTTTGGTTTTATTTTCATGAAGAATTTTATTTTCACCTCGTTTATTTATCTGTTCGTTTGTTTTTTATTCTGTTGAGTTTTTGCGGGGCGGGGGTTGAATTTCAAGAGAGAGAGAGAGAGGGAGAGAATGAGAGAGAGAGAGAGAGAATGAGAGATAGAGAGAGAGAGAGAAAGAGAGAGATAGAGAGAGAGAGAGAGAGAGATGGTTGGATGGAGAAAGAGAAAGGGGAGAGGGAGGGATGGATGGAGAGAGAGGGGGAAGGGAGGAATGGATCGATGGAGAGAGAGAGAGAGGAAGAGAGAGAGAGAGAGAGAATGAGAGAGAGAGGGGGGAGAGAATGAGAGAGAGAGAGAGAATGAGAGAGAAAGAGAGAGAGAGAGAGAGAGAGCAAGCAGCTGTAAAACCTCTGTGTCCTACCAAAGGCTATCTTACTTCATCCCTATTGCTGACATCCGCCAACAATTATTTATGCAATTTTGAAAAATGTAGCTTCACTTTTATATGGACAAGCAACTGAGTTATGCAACACTTGATTCTGGAAAAGTCCTTCAAAGTGCCCCAGAACTTCCCCATAGCAACAGGGAACTCAGAAGCAGCTGTTTAATAATCCTCCTCCTCCTCCTCACAAACCCAACTCCCTTCTAGCACTGATGATGTTATTTAGTTGAGTAATGAAAGGTCTGCAAGAAAGCAACCCAGCTCAGAGAGCACCAAGGACCCCACAGTCGTCTCCTCCTTGTGGTCATCCTTGTTCTCCTCCTCCTCCTCTTGGTTGTCCTCGTCCTCCTCCTTCTTCTTGTCCTCCTCCTCTTTCTCCTCCTTTCATCTAACTCAAATTGATCCTATTCCTTTCCAGCTCTGAGTCAATCTTTTGACGTCTTCATCGACAAGGTGCCCCAGGAGTATTGGAAGAGATTCATGAGGCTCCTCAAGTTGAGCGACAATGAAATTGACTCTGCAACAATCTCTTCACAATATAAGAACGATCAGTATTACCAAATGCTGCGGACCTGGCTGGACAAAAACGGTCAGGCAGCTACCTTGAATGTTCTTCTGGAGGGGCTCAGGGACATGGACTTAAAGGGTATCGCAGAAGAAATCACAAACATTCTCCTTAATAAGCATTTGTACGTCTACGAAGATTAGATGCTTAGCCAGGTGGTCTCTTCTTGAATCTAGTCTTTGACCGCCTGGCAGAATGGTAAGGAGAAGATGTTATGTTGCTAGCTTCTTCTTCAAGTCATCAATTGTTTACATTTTAAAATAATAAAAACCAGCACAAGGCCTTCTACTATATGTTGGTAGCTAGGATTGTGCTGGACATGAGACCCAAAGTCAAAATATGCTTTCAAAATTAGATGTGGATTATGCCAGGCATAGTTGTCGCCCTGTCCTTAACAGGAATGGTGTCCTTTCACAGACTTCGCCAAGTCACCCTTTAATCTCAGGGAAATACACCCTGGAGTTGAGGAAGTGCCAACAGCGTGCCATGTATGGCTTGGACTCTGTGCTTAGGTCCCTCTTCCTTTCTTTAGTCCACCTGGATGGCACAACTGCTCTTTAAGCCCACCCCACCCCAAAGGATCCATCTCTTTAAAGAGGTGCCACGCAAATTTGGCTTTTCAGAAATTATCATGCTAAGAAATATTACTATACCGGTGTTATTTTGAAGGCTGTCCCATTCTTTTCAGTACAAATGATGTTTCCTCCCCCGCCCGATGAAAGTTATTTTTGGTGGCCAAATGGATCCTTTTCAATATAAATTCTGTATTATTATTATTTTTTTTACAAAAAAATAATTCGTCGTAGGTAAATTTGGATAGACTTGGGTCTTCTTTTGAATATGCTGTGATCTTTGTATATATGTATAAAGTATTTGGTTTTAAATCTAGCTGCTATTTAAAATAAAAATGAACCTCCATGAATAAGGACAATCCTTTCACTTGATGGGCTAGCATTTGCCATTGTGTTGAAACTGTGAAGCTTTTCATGAGTTTTCTGCTGAATTTAATTCTCCTGGGTAGAGAGTGCCAAATGTTTAAAACCGATTTCTTGTATCTACATCTCGGGGGTACTAGATGTCGAGGGGAGAAATAGTCCTTCCCTTAATTCCATACAGCAGGAGTCCACAACCTGTGGGCCACGAACCACTATTGGGACGTGGTTGGAATACACGGCAATGTAGTGTATTCAGGTGCTCTCCTTAAGAGAATTTCTTCTGCCAGGACTAGAAACATTTTCTCTTCTTTCTCTTCAGTGAAAATGAAGTATCTCACAAAAATGGAATGCTATGCCCAAAATTATTTTCCATCTCCGTTTTTAGACATGCCATTATGCATGTCACCTAAAGAAAGGATTGTTCTTAAATGCACTTTGGAGGGTTTGTAGGAATCTCTCTTCGGTAGTTTGAGAAGAGAGGCAGAAGGTTTTTCCAACTACTTGTTTACAATTTAGTATTAATTGATATTCTACAGGGCAAGATCCAGATCCTCAGCAAGAGAATTCGTATAATACGTTGATGAAATTGGCCCGAATTGATTGATCTTTTTAAAATATCCTGTTAATTTGAGTTCCTTAAAAAAAAAAACGTGCATTGTGTATTTGCTGCTCGAAGGTCAAAATAGGAGCATTAAAAAAGAAATGTACTGATCTTTACAGACGTTACCAAAAAAAAAATCCCCAGTAATTGAAGTTCTTTAATTTGCAAGATTCTATTTCTGATTTGCAGTAAACGTGACAAGGGTTTTTATTTACGGCAATTTTAAAAAACAAGCTTATGAATTTTTTATGTTGTAAATTATTAATCTGGGCCATGAGAGAGGGGCGATTTGGCCTATCGCACTCCGCGTCTTTGCAAGCAATTCTTCGAGGTTGTAAATTGCGGAGCTCCGTTCTCGTTGTGCCTGTAAAGGTATCGTAGTCTCTGTTCTCTCGGTCTCACCCATCATGCTGAAGGACAGCTTCCATCGGTCCTTCTTCCTGGGGCTAATTAAAAATGCAAGAAAATCACCCTAGGAGAGACATGTCCCCCTTCCCCCCCTCCCATTTTCTTCTCCCTGATGAAATTCTCTTGAAAAAAATTCTCTCTGGGCACAATGAGAATTGATCTGCTGAATAAAATTCCGCATTGGTGACAGGAAGGGCATCCGGCCAGTAAACACTCTGCCCAGACTCCACCCCACGAAGGATTATGGATTATGGAGTCGTTAAAAGGAGATTATATCAATATTTTGGAAATCACGGCAAGGTAAGGTTGCATTCTTTGGCTCTTGGCCTTTGTAGAGGCAACTTGCTGGCAGCCATCCTAACAGCTGGGCTATTAAGCATTCGATCTGACCCAGCTGTGCTACATTGGGCAGCTTCCTGGTGGTTTGTCCCCATTCCTAGGGACTTCCTAGGGAAAGACACTCATACAATACTTCCAAATAAGAGGAAGAAAAGCAGGGTTAGATTGATCTCCAAACCCCCAACCCCTTACATTTAGGTGAAAACTCACTTATTAGAATTTTTTTTTTTAGAATGGTCCTCTTTGGTTCCATTAAAAATTATTATTTTTTTAAAAATAAAAATAGATTTACCCCCCTAGATTTACAGATATGAATATTCCTCCCCCGACTCTTTTCGGGTTTGAACTGGGCTTGCAAAATAAAAATAAAAATCAGGACTAAAGCAACTTTCAAGAGTGAGACTTTGGCAACGAGTGGAGCAGTTTTTTTTAAAAAAAAAATCTCTTAAAAAGCTACAATTTGGGGCATGCTTCCTCTGAGCCTGCTAATCGGTCCACCAGGATTTAAACTTTTGGATTAAATTGGAATTGCAAGAAAAGTTCAGTTGACCTTGACTTCACTGAGATCTTTCAATATTTTGATTTTTTTTTCCACCCCTTTTATCTGTGATATCAGCTTTCCTTTGCAGCTGTAGTAGGTCAGCGCATTCAGATCCCTCTTGTAGGGTCCAAGGTGGCCCTGAAGTTGTGTAGAACAGGGGTCTCCAACCTTGGGAATTTTAAGACTTGTGGACTTCAACTCCCAGAGTTGAAGTCAGCAAAGCTGGCTGAGGAACTCTGGGAATTGAAGTCCACAAGTCTTAAAGTTGCCAAGGTTGGAGACTTCTGGTGTACAACATTGGTCTTTGTGCGCTGCCCTCTTTTCAGTGTTGAATTCTCTGCTTTTGATATCCCACATTTGATTCTGGATAAAGACTATTCATGTTTGGTAGTGAGTGGATTCGGTCCCCTCTGAAATCCATGTCATGGCATTGTTGTTTTGGCTAGCTTACTGTGTTTGCAATGTGTCCTTGATTCCGGACAATATTTGTACGACAACATCAGCACAAGAGGAATTAGGTGGGATGGTTTCTGCCCATAACTTTCAGCAGTCAACAATTTAATTCAAGAGGGGTGGTGGACGGAAGGAAAGCAGAGAGATTGCGAATTTGGGTGGCAGAGCCATCTTCCCATTGCCCGAGGAACTGTCCAACAGCTTCTTGGGTAGACAACTGTTCTGGATAAGCCTCAATATCCAGAACACTCAGCTGTGACTTTACACTGTGGCTTACTGTTTTGAGTGAAAATAACATTTTTTTTAATCGGGATGAATTTGAATTTGCCTTACTCTGTGGCATTTCCAGAGGCCAATAAAAAGAGGGCCACGAGAATTTTTATTTGGTATGGAATGCAGGAAATCACTGCAGCATTAAAGAGAAGAGGGTACATAATGATCGACCCCGAGCTTTTTAAAATCTTAAGTCTCCTGCATGCTTTTTGCATGTGGTACGTGACGGAAGTCTTGATGACCAAGTCCATCTGATTAAGTTTTTGTGGAGTTGGAAGACCAGGTCGCCTGTAAATCTCTGAGATTCAACATATTTCTCTCCGATGTATTGGCTAACACCATAGGATGATAACAAGTCCAAATCTTCTTTCTTAGCAGCTGGGATCTGGATCTTGCCAAAGGTAGAATGCCATATTTGAAAACTTGAAAATTGAAATTAAGAAACAAAAGTAATGTTGTAAATAGTTACCCTTCAAGTTGAAGTTTGTTTCAAAGTTGTATCTGTTTCGAGATATTTAATATATGCTTTTTGTTTCCGTTTTCTTTTCTCTTTAAAAGTTAACTTCGTGTAGAAATGTTAACTTAAGATAAAGAAGTATTTTAGATGGTTAAAAAAAAACTTTTAAAAAAAATGTGTTTGGGTTTGTGTAAATTCTTGGTTAATTTATAGTCTTGCTTTTTGCTCTTTGCCTATTGAAATTACAACGAAAATAGGTACTTGTTAAGCTATGTAAAGTTCTGTTTTGCAATAAATAAAACCAACATTAAAAATTGCTCACTGTTGTGTGGTCTATTAAGACTGATCTGTCCCTGTCCACACACACACACAAACACAGCCAGCCGAGGGTTAAGAAAGTACTTGGCACGCACACAGGTCGTTATCTCAAACTTGGCAGCAATATAAGCACCGTCTGCCAAGAGCTTTTACTGCAACAGATAACATAAAATTACATACGCATTGCAAATAGTCCAGCAAAAACAATATCCCTTTCGGCAGCTTCAGACGTTGTTCAAGTGACTAGCCAAAGTTCGTTTTTGTTCGTCACGGAGTTTTACCAGCCACCACCCTCTCTTATATAGTCCCTGGGGTGTGGTCCAGTGACTCAGTTCTAATCCCTAGCACGCCTCCTTAACTGCTGCAACCGTTTATCACGCCTTCGTTGGCGTGCATCCAGGAATGACGGCTCTCCTTCGCTCTCATCCGAGACACCTGGCTCCTGGCTAATCTCCTCTCCCTCGGCCGGCACCTGAGACAGTGCCAGAGGGGAGGGGCCTGGAGGGGGAGGCCTGGCTGACTCCTCTCCCTCATGTTCGGAGCTTTCTTCCTCCGATGAGATAGGCTCAGAGGGCAGGGCCACAACAAAGACATATTTCTTGTGTTAAGCAAACAGATCTTTTCTTGGTTTTGGTATTAACTTTTTCTCCCTGGCTTTTTGTGTTCTCATCGTTAAAAACCCTCAAGCCCCCCCTCCTCCCCCCCAATGAGAGGGAAAAAGAGGGTGGGAATCAAATTCTTCACTGGATTAAAATTTACCATACTAGAATAGAATAACAGAGTTGGAAGGGACCTTGGAGGTCTTCTAGTCCAACCCCCTGCTTAGGCAGGAAACCTTTACACCACTTCAGACAAATGGTTATCCAATATCTTCTTAAAAATTTCCAGTGCATTCACAACTCCTGGAGGCCAGTTGTTCCACTGATTAATTGTTCTAACTGTCAGGAAATTTCTCCTTAGTTCTAAGTTGCTGCTCTCCTTGATTGGTTTCCATCCATTGCTTCTTGTCCTGGCCTCAGGGGATTTGGAGAATAGCTTGACTCCCTCTTCTTTGGGGCAACCCCTGAGATATTGGAACTCTGTTATCATGTCTCCCCTAGTCCTTTTCATCAAACTAGACATACCCAGTTCCTGCAACTGTTCGTCATATGTTTTAGCCTCCAGTCCCCTAATCATCTTTGTTGCTCTTCTCTGCACTCTTTCTAGAGCCTCCACATCTTTTTTACATCGTGGCGACCAAAACTGAATACTACTTCTGGATTGCTTGTATTTTGTTCGTTGTTTTTTTTAAATTGGGTGAATTATTTTCATTCACAGCTGAGTCCCAATTAGTTGCAAAAAGTATTTCGGGAGAAGTCCTTCGGGATAATCACCAACCTTTATCTCCCTTGACACTCTGCCAAAGACCTACTTGGCAAAGCCACACAAAGTCCAGAATCAAACAGAGATGCCGACTGGGAACAGAAATATCAATGTTGCTTTCCTGCAAAGGGCCCACGTGCCTGTACTCCTCTTTTAAGCTTTATGGGAGGAGCCAATCATCTCCAGGCCTTACTCCCGAGTCGTCCCTTTTATTTTAACTGTTCTTGCCTTCTGGCAGCTTTGCACATGTGCGCACTAGGAACAGGCTCCCTCTCTTCCTCTGCCTCTCTGATGCCTGACTCTGGAGGCTCTGGAGTCCGCGCATAACTCCCAGATGGCCCTGGCCCCATTTCTGCCTCCGACGCAAAGCCCTCAACTGAGCCTTCCCCAGACTCCATGACTGGTCCATGTTCCTCCCCAGCCTCCTCATGGTCCGACTCCACTGCCAGCTCTGCAGGCTGCTGGTGGACCACAAGAAGTTGTGCCAGTTGGAGAAAGAACGTAGAACATTCTGTATCCTACTCCACGATACCCGTACCTCTAGTAGGGCTGAACATTTTCAAACTTCCTTTTGTGAGTGCAAGTTGGCTAAATAAATTTTATTAGTAGAGGGAATTTTTTATGCCAATATCAGAGTTTATTCTTGAGGGCCCGCAAAGAAATTCTAGTTCTAATGCAGGTGACTCACACATCCTCTTTGCAGCTATTGTTAACTTTCAATAACTGCAAGATGTAGAACAGTGTTGGCGAACCTTTTCGGACCAAGTGCCAAAATGGGTACAGGTGTGCATGGGGAAGCACCAAAATCCAGAAGAGTTTAGCTCCCTGGCATGCATATGCATGTCAGAAAGCTGAGCTTCTGGTTTCCGGCGTCGGCATGCGCGTCCAAAGACCAACTGGCATGTGCTTGCTGGAAATCGGAAGCTCAGCTTCCCAGCATGTGCATGAGCGCCAGGGAGCTGCTTTTCCAGTTTCCAGTGCTCCTGCATGTGAAGACCAGCTGGTCAGCGCCCATGTGCACGCCAGAACCCAGAAGAGCAAAGGGCAGCCGTTGTCATGCCCGGAGAGATGACTCTGCATGCAACTTCCAGCACGTGTGCCATAGGTTCGCCATCACGGGCCTAGAATTTGCAGCTAGGCTGGTGGAGCCTAAAGCCCTGGTGGCACAGTGGTTAAAGTGTGGTATTGCGGGCAAACTGCCCAGAGTCTAGAGTTCGATCCTAATGGGATCAAACACCTTGCGTTGTCATCTTCTTTTTGCTTCTGAGGCAATACTTGGGGTACTAGAACATGTCTCCTGACTTCTACTTTAGCAAAAGCTATTGTAGGTAAAAGCTCACAACACTAAAGCTTTAGTTATCCGAAGCACAGTTAGAAGCCGCAGTGGTTCGAATGCAGTATTGCAGGCTAACTCTGCTCACTGCCAGGAGTTCAATCCTGACTGGCTCAAGGTTGACTCGGCCTTCCATCCTTCCAAGGTCGGTAAAATGAGGACCCAAATTGTTGGGGAGCAACATGCTGATGTTGTAAACCAAGAAGTGCTGTAAAGCACTTTTGTTGTTAGTTGCGAAGTCATGTCCGACCCATCACGACCCCATAGACAATGTTCTTCCATGCCTTCCTGTCCTTTACCATCCCCTGGAGTCCATTTAAGCTCACGCCGACTGCTTCAGTGACTCCATCCAGCCACCTCATTCTTTGTCATCCCCTTTTTCTTTTGCCCTCAATCGTTCCCAGCATTAGACTCTTCTCCAGTGAGTGCAAATCACTATGGATGATATATAATCCTAAATGCCATTGCTACTATTCAGAACTGCAACCCACCCACTGCTCCGGATTGTCACCCTCTCTTCTTTCCTTCCCCTTCCAAGTCACAGACAAGTTCACAACCGTCTCTTTAAAATACCATTTATTACAACAGAACCTTCCACACTAAAATCCAGGATGTGTATTGGTTGGTGTTTTCATTTTCATTAAAACAGCACATTAACTGCTGGGGGGTGGATGGGTTTATACTCTTTCATACAAGTGCATCTTCAAGCATTATGGCCAAAATCGGGCGGGGAATTGTTCTCTTCCTCCCATTTTTCTCCTAATCTGCCATGTTTGGTCAATCTTGTAGATTGTGTTGCAAACTACTGACAAAATTAAGTGGAGGGGGAGGGAAGTGGGTGGGAGCAGCAGCTTTCCAGCTTTGCCAAGCTGCTTTTCTCTATTCTAGGGTCATTTCTGCCCCCCATCCCTCGCCCTTGAACCCCAGTGGAGGATCTGTGCTTCTCTTGGCCAGCGTCTCCTTCATAGGGGCGTCCGCCATTTGCTGGCAGGACAACATTCCTTGCTCAAAGCAAAACATCTAAGAGATAAGTGCCTGGGTAGTCATTAAGTGCAACCAAAAATAAAGTGGCCCTTTTGCCAGGAACCCAGAAAGATAAAATGAAAGTTCTGGGACACGCAGCATCTGCAGCAGCTTGAAATGTTAAGGTGCAGAGAATGGTCGATGTGAGGTACATAATACTTTTTTTTTTTTTTAAGAAAACTTTTTTTTTTTTTTGCAAAGGGGAAAAGAAAAAAAAATACAGAATGGCTCCATCTTTCTTGGAGTAATTGTGTTTCCCCCCCCCACTTTAAACAAAAACAAACAATTTTTTCCCTCCTCCAGCATTTTTTTTTTTTTTTTTTTTGCAAAAGGGAGTCAGTCCCGCTGGATGAGTTGAGCCTCTCGGAAAGAAAACAGGACCGCGTTCCGTTCCACCGGTGGGAGCCTCCATCTGCTGTGCTTCTAGACTAGCCGAGGCAGGGATGGAGACCACCCAGAGCTCTGGATGAGATGTTGGACATTCTGGCTCCTGAGTTGCTCTCCTTCGGGTTTTTCCCTCATTGGCCTCTCGGGGATATTCATGCGGATTTTCCCCGCTGAGGGCCGCAGCCTGTGGCATCTCTCGCCACGCGCCTTTGGAATGCCAGGCACCAGTAGGCTCCTTCCTCCATCTTCTAAGAGCCATCGAAGCATAGGCAGTGCAACCCTCAAACCACAGCAGAGGAAGAGGAGGAGGAAGAAGAGGAAGAGGAAGCTGTGGCTGCCGACGAGGACGGGGAAGAAGCATTCCAGAAGAGCCACCGTCTCTTCGGCTGCCGTTTCTGATGGAGGTAGTCTTCCTTCTCGCGCTCTTTCCTGGCTCTCTGGAAGTGATCTTCTTCCTTCAGGTACCAAACGGGGGGCCACCGATGCTTCTCAAAGTAATCCTGATTTTCTGCAGAGAAAAAAATTAAAGAGACGTTAAGAACCTCGGCCCGATATTAAGAGTTCTTCTGTTTCTTGTTTCTGAAATAGGTAAAGGTAAAGGTTCCCCTCGCATATATGTGCTAGTCGTTCCCGACTCTAGGGGGCGGTGCTCATCTCTATTTCAAAGCCAAAGAGCCAGCGCTGTCCGAAGACCTCTCTGTGGTCATGTGGCTGGCATGACTCAACCTCAAAGGCGCATGGAACCCTGTTACCTTCCCACCAAAGGTGGTCCCTATTTTTCTACTTGCATTTTTAACATGCTTTCAAACTGCTAGGTTGGCAGAAGCCGGGACAAGTAACGGGAGCTCACCCCGTTACACGGCACTAGGGATTCGAACCGCTGAACTGCCGACCTTTCGATCGACAAGCTCAGCCTCTTAGCCACTGAGCCACCGCGTCCCTCTAGTACCGTGATGGTGAACCTATGGCACGCGTGCCACAGGTGGCACGCTGAGCCATATTGGTGGGCACGCGAGCGTTGCCTTAGCTCAGCTCCAGCACGCATGCGCTTTGGGACTTCTGGGCCCACCGGAAGTGTTTCCGGCCTCCGGAGTGGTGGGGAAGGCTGTTTTTGCCCTCCTCAGGCTCCTAGAAAGCCCCTGGAGCCTGGGAAGGGCAAAAAACGGCCCGGAGGGGTTGCGCGCGCATGCGTGGGGGGGGCAGGGCACATAGAATTATGGGTGTGAGCACACACCTGTGTGACCACCCCACACTCCCCCAGCTTTTGGCACGCGATGGCAAAAAGGTTAGCCATCACTGCTCTAGTATTTCTGAAATACTCATACAAATTTAACTTCCTTTTTTTTTTAAACAGCCGGTTGCAATATAAAAACGACTGTCTGACGGCAGTTTGCAACGTCAAAATAAAACCAACAACATGGTAGTATACTCCATGCGTGTTTGCATGCCCAGCTAGGTATTTTGTCGGCTACCAAGCAAGCCTTGCCTATTTGCGAAATGCAGGCATGGCAAGAAAACTTAAATCGGGCTAGCCTGTTTAGCTCCAAGAACTGCATTGGGCTTGCGGAGACATAAATTGATGGTGGAGCAAAGACTGGGAGCAGCTCAGAGCATCAAGAATGGATGAATCCAGTTCTTTAATTGGTGGAGAAGCAACCGTAAGTAACTTCTCGGGCTGTTCATTTTCAGATTATTATTTTCCCCCCTCTTGAGATTGCAAAAGGGATAAAGGCAGCAAGTAGAGATGACAACTCTGTGCCATAAAAAGCTTGCAAAAACGGTTAGAGTCATCTTTATGATCTACGCCAGGGGTCTCCAACCTTGGCAACTTTAAGACTTGTGGACATCAATTCCCAGAGTTCCTCAGCTGAGGAACTCTGGGAGTTGACGTCCACAAGTCTTAAAGTTGCCAAGGTTGGAGACCCCTGATCTATGCAACTCCTTTGCCTAACAGGAAAGCAGCTCCACCGTTCTACAAACTCACACCTACCTGCTGACATTGCTTTCATTTCCCGAGGGAACTTGCGACAGATATTGTTGTAGTTGGTGCAGATATGGTGGAGGCACCAATCGGCAAGCTGGTAGGCACCATGGAACTGGGGGAAGAGAAAAAGACAGGCTGGCGTGAGTCACCAATTTATTTGCATTTAGCCAGGAAAGCTATACAGCTAGTCTTTGACTTAACAAACATTCATTTACTGACTCAATGTTATAACAACATTGAAAAAAGTGACTTACAATAGGTTTTTACACTTATGACACCTCATCCTCATGATCAGATGAGCAAAATTTGGACTCTTAGCAACTGGCACATATTGAGACTTGTTCTGTAGACCTTTTGAGTCAACTCTTCCTTTGAAAAGGAAGAAAGAATCCGTACAATCTAGTGAAGGGATGGGTATCTATGGCAATGTTATGGCCTGTGAACCATGCTGGTTCAGGAATTTTGGGAGATGAAGTCCACAGATCATAAACTTGCCATAGTTGACATCTCCACCAGGCAAGAAACTGTGAGTTCTAGTCCTGCTCTCGTCACGAAATACTAGCTGGTTGACTTTGGGGCCAAGTCCTTCTCTCTCATCCCAATTCACCTCTCAGGATTATTGTTGTGGGGAAAATAGGAGGAGGAAGGAGTGTTGGGATACGCTCGCCGCCTTGTGCCATTTTAAAAAATAATAAAGGCGGGGATATAAATACCTGAATAAAAATAAATAAATAAAAAGAAGGATCTCATCCAAGTCAATGCAGAAGCATTGAGCTTCACAGAACGTATCATGAGATGAGTATCAGATTATGGCCAGCAAGATTCCAAAAGAAGAACAATAAAATAATGCCAAACAATATAATGCCAAAACAACTAGACACAAAGAGAGAGATTTTTTCCCCCATGCCATCACTCTGCTGAATATCTAATTTCCACAGCATTGTCTAAAGCCTCAAGATATTCACCCATATAGTTGGGCTGTATTTCTATTATCCTTCTCATCTTTCCTACTGCTGTCTCCTATTGGTATCTTATGATTTCTCACTTGTTGTTTGTATTTATTTATTATTTATTTATTTTATTTTATTCAATTTGTATCCCGCCCTTCTCCTAGTGGACTCAGGGCAGTGCACAGCCAGAACTAAAACACATACCAATACAAAATTTAAAATTTTTAAAAGAATTACATGACTTTGGCCCAGAATTTAAAACATTCAAACTAAAACCTGTTGACAATTTAAAAAGCTAAATGTAGCCTATGATTTATTATTGTTATGATATATGATCTCATGACTTGTTATATAGTTATAACTCATATATGTTATGATAAATGAACTTATGACTTGTTTGTATGCACTGAGAACATATGCACCAGGGGACAAATTCCTTTTGTGTCCAATCACGCTTGGCCAATAAAGAATATTCCTATATTCCTATTTGTTTACGGAGATTCTCAATCATCTCCAGGTCCTGGTTGTCCCAAAGGTGCTTTTTCAAGAAGCAACTGGACTTTTTGGGTTTTCTTTGAAGACGTTTCGCTTCTCATCCAAGAAGCTTCTTCAGCTCTGACTGGATGGCGGGGAATGGAACAGAGCTGGGGTTTCAGCAGGTTCTGACCAGTTCTGGAGAACCGGTAGCAGAAATTTTGAGTAGTTCAGAGAACCAGTAAATACCACCTCTGACTGGCCCCGCCCCCATCTATTCTCTGCCTCCCGAGTCCTAACTCATCAGGAGGAAATGGGGATTTTGCAGTAACTTTCCCCTGGATTGGGGAGGGAATGGAGATTGTACAGTATCCTTCCCCTGCCACGCCCACCAGGCCATGCCCACCAAGCCACACCCACAGAACCGGTAGTAAAAATTTTTGACACCCAACACTGGAATGGAATATATTCCTATTCCTATATAACACTATTCCAAAACGAGGAGAATTTTGTATTGACTCTAAGTAAATTGTTCATACCTGAGCCAGCTCCAGGAACAAAAGGACATCGCCATCTATATCCACTAACATCTGCGTTGCTTCCATCAAACCAGACACAGTGAACTGTTCTGCAAAACAATAAAAATATAAAACACAGTCAGTTGGTTCATTACGTGGCCTGCAAAGAAGATTTAAATTTCTGTCTTGCCAATAACAAGCCAATTGAGTTATTGGTGGTCTAGAAATAATAATCTGAGAAACAGTATCCTATATTGCATTTTTTTAAAATAGACCTTGTCAGTTCTGGAAAGCCATATTTTGCATTGGGCCTTCAGGCCTGCCACATTTACTACTGTGGGAAACTGGGAGGGGGGATTGTATGGAGCGGGGTGATATGTAGTCATAATAACATTCCTTTCTCAGAGAGTCAAGGACATCTTGCCCTGCACTTGGGAGGCTGGAACTGGGAGGGATCTCCAGTTGGGACGGTGCTTTGATTGGACCACGTGATGGACATGTGGGTGCTGGGACAGGGGCTTGGACTTTTCTTTGAGTGGGGAAAACCTGGAAGCTTTCAGATTCGGGTTTTCCCAGATGTGCCAATATGACATCTCTAAAAAAAGGAACTTTGAGGAACTTCTAGCCTCGGAGTTTTCTTTCGTTGGGGGTGTTACTTGGAACCCTGACAGTCCTATTCACTGAAAGCTGAGGTGAATAAAAAGGCAAATATAAACTTGACACACATAGAGTGCGTCCAAAATCAAAAATAAGTACGATGCTTATTTCCTACGTTTGGCATTTGAAATGACTCATCGTTTCATAGATGCAAAGAGAGGAAATGCAACGCGGTTCTTAGAATTACCTGTGAGTGCAACCAGGTGTGGGAGACACAAGCGGTTGGCCAAGATGATGAGCTTCATGTAATCAAGGTCTGAAGAAGAATAGAACTGGCCAGTATACAGGTACTCAAGCACTGCTCGCATGCAACTCTTACTGGTGTACGGTAGAACTACCTGCAATGATGAGGATACCAAGGGGTTAAATCTGTACCATTTTGCAAAATTAAAATAAAATAAATAATAATAAAATAAATAAAATAAAATAAAATAAAATAATAAAAGAAAAGAAAAGAATAAAAGAAAAGAAAATAATAAAATAAAAGAATAATAAAATAATAAAATAAAATAAAATAAAATAATAAAATAAAATAAAAATAATAAAATAAAATAAAATAAAATAAGACCCCCTCGCATCCTGGACATAAATTGTTTCAACTTCTACCCTCAAAACGATGCTATAGAGCACTGCACACCAGAACAACTAGACACAAGGACAGTTTTTTCCCGAACGCCATCGCTCTGCTAAACAACTAATTCCCACAACACTGTCACATTATTTACTAAGGCTGCATTACTATTATTCTTCTCATCCTTACTAGTACCTATCTCTTCCCACTTATTACTATATCCATGTTGCTTGTATCTTTCAATTATATTGTTTTTAATTGTTTCCTAATACGATTTGATAGCTTATCAAAGTATCACAAACTTGACTATCAGTAAGTATTGTATCTTTTTATTCTTGATGAATGTATTTTATTCTCCTTATGTACACTGAGAGCATATATATTTAAGGCAAATTCCTTGTGTGTCCAATCACACTTGTCCAATAAAGAATTCTATTCTATCCTATCCTATCCTATCCTATCCTATCCTATCCTATCCTATCCTATCCTATCCTATCCTATCCTATCCTATCCTATCCAATAAAATAAAATAAAATAAAATAAAATAAAATAAAATAAAATAATAAAAACAGAACAAAAGAAAAAACAAAATAAAAACATACAATACAATACAATACAATACAATACAATACAATACAATACAATACAATACAATACAATACAATACAATACAATACAATACAATACAATACAATACAATCTCCATATTTTCTTCAACCATATGGAACCCATTTTATATCCTTCTCCAGCTGCTGTGCTCTTTCAAAGCAGCATTCAAACATTTGGTGCATTTTGCACAGAGAACACCAGAGCTGTGAGGTGGGAAGGATTGTGTTGCATGTAGACTGTTGTGAAGAACTAATGTTTGTTGAAACAGGTGAATAGGACCGTGTACAAAAAGCTGCTGGGGACATTTAGGGACGTGACTGTAACTACATGAAGTTACATGAAAAAAAAAGAGAGAGTCGGTTTTGTTAAGGCACCAGGTGGCTAGAAATCAGGTGACGCGGAGTTCTAGTCTCGCATGAAAGCCAAGTGACTTTGGCCCAACTAGCCAAGAGACTGTGAGTTCTAGTCCTGCCTTAGACATACATGAAAGCCAGCTGGGTGACTTTGAGCCAATCGCCAGGAGATGATGAGTTCTAGTCCTGCTTTGGCCATGAAAGCTGGCGGGATGACTTCGGGCCGGTGGTTCCAGCCCAACTCACCTCACAGGTGAGGTGGTTGTTGTTGTTGTGGGGAAAAAGAGTAGAAAGAGGAGGAGGAGGAATATTATGTACTGTATGTTTGCCACCTTGAGTTATGTATAAAGTAATAAAGGTGGGTAAATAAATAAATGAGCCTCGGTGGTGCAGTGGTTAGAGTGCAGTACTGCAGGCTACTTCTGCTGGCTGCCTGCAATTTGGCAGTTCGAATCTCACCAGGCTCAAGGATGACTCAGCCTTCCATCCTTCCAAGGTGGGTAAAATGAGGACCCAAATTGTTGGGGGCAAGAGGCTGACTCTGTAAACCGCTTAGAGAGGGCTGTAAAGCACCGTAAAGCGGTATATAAGTCCATTGCTCTTGCTAAATAATATACATAAATACATTTCTCAGTCCATGCTCAAGGTTGCCTCACCTCCTGAGTTGAGCTCTCAACGAAAGGACCCCCAAACATGGCAGCCATCCAGTCACAACTGGAGATCAGCAAGGGCTTGTGGGCACTGATAGCACCATCATCCAGTATAAAAGTGACATCTGCAAAGAAGGAAAACATGCTATAGTTACGCATCCCTGACACGCTGGAAATGGATGTCTAGATTATGCCTATTTCGAAAGAACTTGCCAAGCCTGGCTTAAGAATGGCAAAGAAGTTTTTGTCCGTTGTATCTTTTTTTATTCTTGATGAATGTATTTTATTCTCCTTATGTACACTGAGAGCATCTGCACCAAAGACAAATTCCTTGTGTGTCCAATCACACTTGGCCAATAAAGAATTCTGTTCTGTTCTGTTCTGTTCTGTTCTGTTCTGTTCTGTTCTGTTCTATTCTATTCTATTCTATTCTATTCTATTCTATTCTATTCCATATTTTCTATTCTATTCTATTCTATTCTATTCTATTCTATTCTATTCTATTCTATTCTATTCTATTCTATTCCATTCCATTCCATTCCATTCCATATTTTCTATTCTATTCCATTCTATTCCATATTTTCTATTCTATTCCATTCCATTCCACTCCACTCCACTCCACTCCATTCCACTCTATTCTTTAATACTGCTGTTAAACCAGTGCCGGCTGAGATGCCTGGAGTAGTGAAAGAGCTGGTCGTCTCGTTTGACAGCAGGCTTCTGTCTTCCTTCTGAGGAGGTAGAAGGGCCATGGGATACATCGGTACCAAATGAGGTGATAAACCTTATCCAAACTCTCCCGCTTGGAGATTGGATAAGATTTTAACCTCACATTGGAACCGGTGCTTCTCTGCCTATGTAAATCCAGTTGGAAGAGAATGGAATGGCAGAACTGGGGGTGGAATGAAAAGGGGGAATCAGCCAAGAATCTCTACGTAGCCACAAGAGAATGAATTCCAACTCCTTTTGAGTGCTATTGACCCGTATCTAACTCTATGCCAAAGGTCTTCAAACTTGGCAGCTTTAAGACTTGTGGACTTCAGCTCCCAGAATTCTCCAGTCAGCATGACTGGCTGGGCCGCAGAGGTCTTCAAACTTGGCAGCCTTAAGACTTGTGGGCTTCAACTCCCAGAATTGCCCAGTCAGCATGACTGGCTAGGGCAGAGGTCTTCAAACTTGGCAGCTTTAAGACTTGTGGACTTCAGCTCCCAGAATTCTCCAGCCAGCATAGCATAGCTGGCTGGAGAATTCTGGGAGCTGAAGTCCACAAGTCTTAAAGCTGCCAAGTTTGAAGACCTCTGCTTTAAGCAGATGCCAACCCTTAATTGAGAAGATTCCTGGCATGGGCTTTTAACAATATATCGGTTTAATTGAACTCTCATGTATGGACCTGGTCTTTTGTGCCTGACACCAAATAGCAAAGCAGAAGACTTTAAAGTAATAGTTTCCCTAGCGAGTAAGATGTTTTAAATGCAGGATACGTTTTCAACCAAGGAACATGCAGAATGTTGGCACACAGAAAAGGCAAACTTGGCAGTCGTGGTTCCCCCACAAGCAGCCAAGTTCATTTTTGCGGGGAGAGCAAAGCACCAATCACCAATGCATGCACGCACGCACAGGAAACAACAGAAGCTAAAATGCCCTATTCGCTTATTTGACCTCACTTGGACTGCAACTCAATAGACAGTTGTATGACACCTTGCGATACAACATTCACACCCAGAATAAGGCAGGTTTCCCCTGAGATCGATGCTCAGTAGATTGTAGGATCCAATCTGAGTCGGTCACCCGGGACCAAAGATTTATTCTTCCAAGTTTTCGGGCTCAAGCTAGAACCAATCCTCAGGAAAGTTAGAAGGCTAGGGCTTGAGGCAGCAAAAGGAAACAACTAATGACTTAATAGCCGCCCATCAACTTCCTAATTAACAACTAAACGCCACGCATAACCAGGCAACATATAAATACAATGCTTAGAACAGCCCAGTGCACACATTCTGAAGAAAGGGAGAGAGAGGGAGGGAGGGGGAGAGAGATGGGGGAGAGAGAGACAGAGAGAGAAATGGAGGGAGGGAGAGGAGAGGGAGGGAGGGAGGGGGAGGGAGAGAAGGAGAGGGGGAGGGAGAGAGAGGAAGAGGGAGGGGAGAGGAAGAGAGGGAGGGAGAGAGTGGAGGGGAGGGAGAGAGGGAGGGAGAGAGTGGAGGGGAGAGGGGGGAGAGAGAGGGAGGGAGAGGGAGGGGGGAGGGAGAGAGAGGTAGATGGAGGGAGGGAGAGGGAGACAAGGAGAGGGGGGGAGGGGAGAGAGGGAGAGAAAAAGAGAGAGGGAGGAGAGAGGGAGAGGGAGGGAGGGAGAGGAGAGAGGAAGAGGAGAGGAGGGAGGGAGAGGGAGGGGAGAGAAGAAGAGAGAGAGGGAGAGGGAGACAGAGGGGGAGTGAGGGAGAGAGAAAGAGAGAGAGATGAAGGGAAGGAGAGGGGGAAGGGAGAGAGTGAGAGGGAGGGAGAGAGAGGGGGGAGGTTTCCCGGGGATGGGCTCCAGCCTGAGTCCAAAAGTTCAGAAGACTAAACCTCTGGTCCTGGTGACCGACTCGGATTGGATCCTGCAACATTAATCCTGGGACACAATTATTTGCCTTCATTCATCAAGTCGGTTGTCCCGTTGGGAGCTCAAAAGGATGTCTCAGTTGAATTAAAGACCCCTGGCTTTAGAGCACTGTAAAATCTCGCTTCCCAACCTACCAGAGAAAGTCCCCTTGGCCAGACATTCTTTCACCCGGTTGGTTCTCCTGACGTGGAAGGCTTTGGTGATCTCCTGGTTCATGAACGCCTCGTTGTTGAGGATGTTGGCCACCATCATCCTGAGGTCGAAGACTTCGAGCAGTTCAGCAATGTGGGCGATATGCATGAGATCTCTCTCGTTCTCATCCAGCTCCCCGGTGTAGAGATATTTGAGCACGGCCCTGAACGGTCCCAGCTGGATGGAGGGATCCATCTTCACGACCACCATCAGCCGGGGTTTGTAGGTCACGGGGTCATCGGCCATCTCCTCCTGGATGCTGACAAAGGCACGGCTCCAAGAGGAGAGGATTCTCCCCCGCTTTAGCCCTCGTTCCCCGTAGTTCTTGCCCCGCAAAATCCCATCGCTGGTGGAGGCTCTAAGGCACGGTTTTTGCTGGCCGGAGCCAGCTTCTTCAGTACTCTCACAGATGTCAAAACTAGCAGCCCTCAAGAGGAAGTCCCGCCCGTGGTGATGATGCCGTTCCTGAGGAACCGTTCGCTCCGCAGCGCCCATCCTGATGCTGCTTCCCGTCATCTCCTCTTGGCCCTCCTCGTCCAGGTCCATCAGGAACAAGTCATAGAACTTGGAGGAGGCGGTGGAGAGGTAGATCTTGTGCGCGTAGATTTTGATTCTCTCTTGCAGCACCAGGATAACATCTGCACACAAAGGATCCTCCAGCAGATGAGCCGGGCGCTCTTCATTGTTGGAAGGAGGGTCGGGGACAACGATGATGGGGGGAGGAGGCTTGGGGGGCAAGAAAGGGGCCTGGAGCAACGGCCTTTGGACGTTACGGAGGTGGGATTTCCAGAACTGGAGATGCCGCCGGGAGATGAGGGCCGCTCGGATGGCGTTGTCGAAGACGTCCTTGATGCCAAATTGGGCAACTACACTGGTCTCGTAGTAAGGGATGCCCAGCTCTTTGGCTACCTCTCGTCCCTTCTCCGGAGGCAGAATTTCATTTGGTTTGATTGGCCTGGAAGAAAAAGAAAACAGCCACAGGTTTGATGTTAGCCGAGCAACCAAAACTCAAAATTATAGCGGGGGAAAGAAAAGGATGATTATCTAACTGGAAAAACAGCAAATCATCCCAAAAACTCTACAGCTATCAGGGTGATCAGGCTAAGAATACAGTTCATACTACCGTTACATAGTCAGTAAGGCTTAGAGTGAGTTTTGTTACAGAAAGTCTGAAAAACTACAGGTAGTCCTTCACTTACAACTCCAATGGCGCTCAAAATTTCTGTCGCTAAGTGAGACGGGTGTAAAGTGAGTTTTGTCCCATTTTATGACTTTTTTTGTTGTTGCCACAATTGTTAAGTGAATCACTGCAGTTTGTTAAACTGGTCACATGGTCGTTAAGCGAATCTGGCTTCCCCACTGACATTGCTTGTTGGAAAGCTGCAAAAGGGGACCGTCATAAATATGAATCAGTTGCCAAGTGTCCCGGTTTTGACCACGTGTCCCTGGGGATGCTACAACAATCAGTCTTAAGTGTGTAAAATGGTCATACGTCGCTTTTTTTCAGTGTCTCCATAACTTTGAACTGTTGTAAGTCGAGGACTACCTGTACACTCTATCTTGAAAACCTGACCCTTCAGCTTTTTCCCCCACTTTTCTCCTCCAACCAAAGCATTGTGGTCATGTGACCGTGGGATGTTGCATGTGGCTATACAGGTGAGCCTATCGCCAAGTGTCCAACCTGTCATCACATGACCATGGAGAGAGGAAGCGCGAGTGTCCTAACTTTGGAAACAGACCGTAGCTAAGTATGCTTTGTTTGGGTGGTCTGTCGTTAACTTCAAGCGGTTATAAGTCAAGGACTACCCTGTGAGTTTCTCCCGCCCAAGGAAGAAAAACTAAACCAGGGATGAAATGCTCCTGGTTCAGACCCGATCGCCCGATCCGGTAGCGATGGAGGCGGGTGGTTCGGAGAACCAGTAGCAAAAATCCCTGCCCCATCCCCATTGCCCAGCTGAGCCGTGCAATCATCAGAGGCTTTTTTTATTATTTTTAAAAGCATTTTTTCTACAACCTCTTTGGCCGAAAAAATGCTTTTAAAAGTAAAAAAAAAAAAAAAAGCCTCTGATGATCACGAGGCTCAGCTGGGATCATCAGAGGCTTTTAAAAGCATTTTTTCTACAACCTCTTTGGCCGAAAAAATGCTTTTAAAAGTAAAAAAAAAAAAAAAAGCCTCTGATGATCAGGCAAGTCAGCTGGGATCATCAGAGGCTTTTAAAAAAAAAAAGATTCTGCCAATCAGGCAAGTCAGCCGGGATCGTCAGAGGCTTTAAAAGCATTTTTTTTACAACCTCTTCAGCCGAAGAGGTTGTAGAAAAAATGGTTTTAAAAGTAAAAAAAAAAAAGTTGGCCACGCCCACTCAGTCATATTACCTCACCACCACCACCAAGCCATGCCCACAGAACCGGTAGTAACAAATTTTACATTTCACCACTGAACTAAACCCAATGTCCTACCTGGCTAAAGGTCTCCTGGCTCGGTTGACTGCTTCTAGGTCAGCATAGCGAAGGTCGAGCTGGCAGCCTACCAAGATGACAGGTGCCCTGGGACAGAAATGCTTAATCTCAGGGTACCACATGGTCTTCACATGGTGGAGGGAGTTTGGATTAGCAATGGAGAAACATAATACTACGACGTCAGATCTGTGGGAAGAAAGGAAGCAGGAATCAGTGACTGCATAAGAGTTTGATGGCCATTGACACTCCCCACCCTCACAATTTAATTTAATTTATCGCATTTCTATGCCGCCCAACTCCCAAGGGACTCTATATGTACAATGTTTGTACGGTACCAGGTTTGCCCGAAAATAAGACCCTGTCTTATATTTTTTTGAACCCTGAAATAAGCTCTTGGCCTTATTGCCATGCGCTCAAAAGCCCAATTGGGCTTATTATCAGGAGATGCCTTATTTTGCGGGAAACAAGGTAGTAAGGCCGCACATTTGACCCGTGTCCTGGAACAAACTCAGATTCCTTTTCGTAGATGGTCTCCTTATTTTCCTTGCCTTAACAATACTACTGGAATTAGTATCATAACCCGCAAAATGCCCTTTGATATCTCGGGAGATGTGCTTAGAGCAGAGGTGGCATTCAGCTGGTTCACACCAGTTCGCACGAACTGGTAGTAACGACCTGCCACCCCGGCGCAATGCCGTACTATTTAGGCACATTTTGAAGCCACGCGCATGCATGTGTTGTGGTCTGCCAATACTGTCAGCGGAGTCAGACAGTGAAGAGGCTGAGGAAGAACAGGGCCAGTCCTGGAGGCTGGGGAAGGCCCAGATGAGGGCTCTGCGTCGGAGGCAGTGATAGGGCCAGGGCCATCTGGGAGTGATGTGCGGACTCCGGAGCCTCCAGAGGCTGACAGCAGAGAGGCAGAGGAACAGGGGGAGCCTGTTCCAAGTGAACACATGAGAAGAGCTGCCAGAAGGCAAGAGCAGCTAAAGCAAAAAGGACGACTCGGGAGTAAGGGCAAGAGATGATTGGCCCCTCCCATAAGGCTTAAAAGGCCAGCAATGGCTCTTGTCGGAAAACTATGTTGATAGATTTGTTTCCTGTCTTGCTGCATTTATTTCTTGTCGGCGTCTTCTGCTTCTGAACTTTTGCCAAGAAAAGCCTTTGGCAGGTTGCCTAATTAGACCAAGGTTGGTGATAAGGCTGAAGAATTGTTACGAAGAATTTGTTTTGATTTTGTTTGGACTACGCTGAGAATGAGTTAATTCTCAGCTGTTCTAATAAAGTCTGTTTGTTTCGAACTGTTTGTCTGATAATACCTACTTGGGCCTGGGTCACAACATCATGCAAGCCACACACACAAGCAAAGCGCATAGCGTGGAAGGCCACACGCACGCTCATATTTGCGAACCGGTAGGGAAAGTAAGCGAATGCAACCTTTGGCATAGAGGGAGCATCAGTGAGTAGAGTAGGACTGTTTACTCCACTTGTCTATCTTCCGGACATTAAGACTTCCAACTTCCAGAAGGCCATCCCTATTTCTTGCAACTCTGGATTCCGCAGCGAACCTCTCCGCTATGTTTTGGGGTTCTACGGAAGTTCTGTATCCACTTTCAGGATAGCTTCTTTTTCTTTCTTAGCTTTCTTCACTTCTCTTTTCCCTTCCCCCCTCCCCCCCACTGCTTTTCTATGTGCTTTGTATTTTATAAAACTATATTGTTGTTGTTGTTTAGTTGCGAAGTCGTGTCTGACCCATCGCGACCCCATGGACAACGCTTCTCCAGGCCTTCCTGTCCTCTACCATCCCCCGGAGTCCATTTAAGCTCATGCCGACTGCTTCAGTGACTCCATCCAGCCACCTCATTCTCTGCCGTCCCCTTCTTCTTTTGCCCTCAATCCTTCCCAGCATTAGGCTCTTCTCCAGGGAGTCCTTCCTTCTCATTAGGTGGCCAAAGTATTTGAGTTTCATCTTCAGGATCTGGCCTTCTAAAGAGCAGTCAGGGTTGATCTCCTCTAGGACTGACTGGTTTGATGGCCTTGCTCTGTCTGTCTGTCTGTCTGTCTGTCTGTCTGTCTGTCTGTCTGTCTATCTATCTATCTATCTATCTATCTATCTATCTATCTATCTATCTATCTATCTATTGTTGTTGTTAGTTGTGAAGTCATGTCTGACCCATCGCGACCCCATGGACAATGTTCCTCCAGGCCTTCCTGTCCTCTGCCATCCTCTGGAGTCCATTTAAGCTCACGCCGACTGCTTCAGTGACTCCATCCAGCCACCTCATTCTCTGCTGTTCCCTTCTTCTTTTGCCCTCCATCGTTCCCAGCATTAGGCTCTTCTCCAGTGAGTCCTTCCTCCTCATTAGGTGGCCAAAGTATTTGAGTTTTCTCTTCAGGATCTGGCCTTCTAAAGAGCAGTCGGGGTTGATCTCCTCTAGGACTGACTGATTGGATGGCCTTGCAGTCCAAGGGACTCGCAGGAGTCTTCTCCAACACCAGAGTTCAATGGCCTCAATTCTTTGGCGCTCAGCCTTCCTTATGGTCCAACTTTCACAGTCGTACATTGCAACTAGGAAAACCATAGCCTTGACTACACGCACTTTTGCTGGCAGGGTGATGTCTCTGCTTTTTAGTATGCTGTCTAGATTTGCCATAGATTTCCTCCCCAGGATCAAACGTCTTTTAATTTCTTGGCTGCAGTCCCCACCTGCGGTGATCTTGGAGCCCAGGAAAATAAAATCTGTCACTACCTCCATTATCTTACTTTATAACTCAGTAAAAATGTTAATGGAAGCTCTGCGTCCGTTTCCAGGACCTACCTTCCGTAAGCAAAGCGCCTGTCTTTGTGATGGTCCCCAAAGGTATCCCAAAGCCTTAAGGAAACGCTAACATCGTCTACAACATCTCGGGAACGTTCCAGTACCTGGGAGAAATTTAAAAAAAAAGAAAAGATTATCTTCAGACCAAAAGGGACAATTAGAGGTCCAGTGTAGTGCAAGGCTGAAGGTGGTAGACTAGGGAGGGTGGAGACCCAAATTCTAATTCCCTTTCAGTCACAGAAATTGGGCATTCAATCAGTCGAATGCATGGCGTGGATTAACACCTTTCAATGGTGGCTTCGGGCGCTCTTTTGGGCAGCCCCAGAGAGCTACCTCTCCCTGGTGTTAGCTGACTCCTATACTTCTCGATGGGAGAGGGAGCTGACGAAGAAACTCCACCTGCTAGTTTTTTCGTGGGATGCCTTGGGAGACTATGGCCTTAAGGATGTCCAATCTAGGGTAGTCCAACGGCTTGTGGAGATAGACTTGCAATACTATCAGAGCCTGATAGTACAGTGGGCTAAAGCACTGTTATTAACATCTGCTGCTTGCAATTACTGCAAGTTCAAATCTCACCAGGCTCAAGGTTGACTCAGTCTTCCATCCTTTCTAAGGTAGGTGAAATGAGGACCCAGATTGTGGGGCAATAAGCTGACTTTGTATAAATATACAAAAGTATGGAGGCTATTGCTTAACGCATTGTAAGCCGCCCTGAGTCTCCGGAGAAGGGCGGCATATAAATCAAATTAAAAAAAAAAAAAACCTGTACATTTAAACATGTTGATGAAAAATAAAAATAAAAAACTTTTTTCAAAAAAAAAGAAAAAGAAAATGCCACTCACCTCCTGGCAAACCCGGTACTGATCAATGGCCCAGACGGTGGGCACGTGGGTAGCGAGGAGCTGATACTGTGTCAATGTGGCATTACATGCACGGGCACAAATGAGCCGTGTCTTGCCCACTGCGTTGTCCCCAACCACGACACACTTGATGGTTTCTACGTTTGGCCTTTCATAATCCATGTCAGAATCCATTAATTGGGACCTGCATCAAGAGAGAGAGAGAGAGGAAAGAAAAGAGAAAGGTGCATCAGGCAGGCGTTTCTTTTCCGTTGGAGCTCCAGAATGTCTTCCACAAGCCACATCACAATGGAAGCAATCAATATTAGTAGAATAGAATCGAATAAATGAGCTGGAAGGGACTTCGGAGGTCTTCTAGTCCAGCCCCTGCTCAGGCAGGAGAACCTATACTATTTCAGATAAGTGATTGTCTAGACCCGTGACGGCGAACCTATGGCACAGTGCCACAGGTGGTACGCGTAGCCATATCAGTGGGCACGCCAGCTCAGCTTTGGCGCGCATGTGCGTGCTGGCCACCTGATTTTCAGGCCTTTTGGGCCCACCAGAAGTAGGGAAACAGGTTGTTTTCTGCCTCCAGAGGGCCTGGGGGTAGGTGGGGAAGGCTGTTTTCACCCTCCCCAGATGCATAGAGAGGATCTGGAGCCAGGTGACAAAGAAAAACTGGCCAGGAGCAAGGGGGGGAGGGGGGTTGGGCGCACATGCGCAGGGCGGGCGCATAGAATTATGGGTGTGGGCACGCGTGCACGTGAACCTCCCCCGCCCCCCCCTTCCTGGCATGCAATGGCAAAAAGTTTAGCCATCACTGGTCTAGACGCTTCTTAAAAACCTCCAGTGTTGGAGCGCCCACGATTTCTGGAGGCAAGCTGTTCCACTGGTTAATTGTCCTCACTGTTAGGAAGTTTCTCCTCAGTTCCAGGTTGCTTCTCTCTTTGATCAGTTTCCATTCATTGTTTCTTGTCCTGCCCTCTGGTGCTTTGGAGACTAATATGACCCCCTCGTCTTTGTGGCAGCTCCTCAAATACTGGACTACTGCTATCATGTCACCCCTAATTCTTCTTTTCTTTAGATTAGCCCAGGGGTCAGCAACCTGCAGCTCTGGAGCCGCATGTGGCTCTTTCACCCCTCTGCTGCGGCTCCCCGTCACTCAAAATATGCATCACAACCGCCAATGTGTGACACCTGCCGGCACGTGATTTATTGAGCTTTTCAACTCCCCGGTAGCCCAACCATGGATAAATCCCAGAAAAGAAAAGTTTCAGAAGAAAAGAGAACATTTAATTCAACTACATATGCTAGATTTGTGGCCCCTCAAGAAATAGTCAGGCACGGGAAGGGTTTTGTGGCTCCCGGAGTTTTCTTTTCTGTGGGAAATGGGTCTAAATGGCTCTTTGAGTGTTTAAGGTTGCAGACCCTTGGATTAGCCAATAATCCTACTTCACAATGGGATATGCAATGGCCTTTGCAAATAGCCCTCTCTCTCTCTCACACACACACACATTTCTACCACCATTAACTGGTTTCAGAAGTCTTGGGTAGTTGTTTTCTTCCAGACTGAGATAATCCTCACCAGATCTCAAGAAAAGAATTTAGAAGAGCCTTGAAGGGGTTTGGGAACCTGGTCACCTAGCCAACATGCATTCCTGGTGGCTCAGCAGACTGATAGCATTGTGATTAACACCAGCTGCCTGCTATTACTGTAAGTTCGAATCTCGCCAGGCTCAAGGTTGACTCAGCCTTCCATCCTTTCTAAGGTAGGTAAATTGAGGATCCAGTTTGTGGGGGCAATAAGCTGACTTTGTATAAAATATACAAAAGTATGAAGGCTATTGCTTAACGCACTGTAAGCCGCCCTGAGTCTCCGGAGAAGGGCGGCATATAAATCAAATTTAAAAAAAAGAAATTCCAGCCAATGTCCCTTTAAAAATTAATAAGTGTTTTTCAGAATATGTCTCAGTGCAGCTTCTGATAAGATACATACCCTGGAAATTTGGTTCCAATCTCTTCCCTTCTCTTTGTTTTCTACCCCGGTCATGTGAGAATTCTCCTAATCTTACCTCTACCAACCTTGTCCCCCCATTCAAGAGAACCAGCACTGAGTCTGATCCATTCCTCTGCCCCGCAACTTCCCACCTCACCTCACCCCACTCCCAGCCCCATCTTCCTTTCTTCCTCTCTTCTCATATAAACACATCCAAAGGCATCACACCAGCAGCTGCTGGGACTGAATAATTAAAGAAGAAGCTGTTATGTAGGCTTCGGGCTGCTTGTTTAGCAAAAAAGGGAACCACTGATACTTGGGATAATGGAATTTACAGCATTTGTTGCTGACTTGGAATAAAGCAAAGGGCTGGCTCCCTGCTTAGTTTAATAAAAAAAAACTTGGTTTGTTTTCCTCGGTAGGAAAGTTTATACTAAGAGTGTCACAACCGGCATCTGAATGGGAAGAGCCGTGCAGTTAGAAAGGTTGCTGCTGCGGGAAGCAAGGGTGCATTCGATGCGGTTGAAGCTTTGCCCTCAAGTGAAATTGAAAGAAGTGTGTGTGGCCTCTTTTATCTTCTATGCTGGGATTTGGATCAGGTCATACAAGCCACTTGGCAGCCTGTAGCTGATCTAATTTAACCGTAGGAGTTTGGGAAGGAAGTTAACTTAACTCAAAGTCTTAAGGCAAAGATTGCTTCCACGTTCCCCCATTTCTTCGTACTTCTATGTTCTGTGATGTGAGCTTTACATCATTCAAGGCGACAAATAGAGTAGAACAGGGGTCTCCAACCTTGGCCACTTTAAGCCTGGAGGACTTCAACTCCCAGAATTCCCCAGCCAGCTTTGCTCAAAGTCTTAAGGCAAAGATTGCTTCCACGTTCCCCATTTCTCCGTACTTCTATGTTCTGTGATGTGAGCTTTACATCATTCAAGGCGACAAATAGAGTAGAACAGGGGTCTCCAACCTTGGCGACTTTAAGCCTGGAGGACTTCAACTCCTAGAATTCCCCAGCCAGCTTTGCTCAAAGTCTTAAGGCAAAGATTGCTTCCATGTTCCCCATTTCTCCGTACTTCTATGTTCTGTGATGTGAGCTTTACATCATTCAAGGCGACAAATAGAATAGAACAGGAGTCTCCAACCTTGGTGACTTTAAGCCTGGAGGACTTCAACTGGGGAATTCTGGGAGTTGAAGTCCTCCAGGCTTAAAGTCGCCAAGGTTGGAGACCCCTGGAATGGAATACAGAATTACAAAGTCGGATGGGATGTTGGAGATCTTTTAGTCTCAAGCAGGAGACACCATATTCATTTCTGGACAAATGGCTGTCCAATCCCTTCTTTAAAACTTCCAGTAATGGAGTATGCACAGCTCCTGAAGATAAACTGTTCCACTGATTAATTGTCCTCACTGTCAGGAAATCTGTCCTTAATTTTAGGTTGGATCTCTCTTTGATAAGCTTCCATATGTTACGTCTTGTGTCCTGCCCTCGGATGCTTTGGAGAGTATAAGTTAACACCCACTACTCTGTGAGAGCCCCTCAAATATTGGAAGACTGCTATCGCATCACCCCAGCCCTTCTCTTCATTAAACTAAACCAGGGGTCTGCAACCTTATATACTCAAAGAGCCATTTGGACCTGTTTCCCACAGAAAAGAAAACACCGGGAGCCACAAAACCTGGGTGGGCGTGGCCAACTCAATGTCACTCACTTCCACCAGTCACATGACACCCCCCCAGCCACGCCTACCCAGCCGGTCATTAAGGCAGAGAACCAATTGTTAAAAAACACCGGGAATGTCAGAGTGGCAATTAATCCCATTTTGCTTTTGGGTAATTGCACCTTAATTAGAGAATGGATCGCGACCTTTCCTTGCAAGTATACCTTAAGAAAATAAACCCGAAGATATATTTTCTAAGAAAAACTCATTTATTTCTTATAAAGAAAATAAAACATCTTCCTAGCTAATTAGTTACATCTTGGCAGCTTTCCCAGCCACCTCTCCTGGCCGGAGAACAAAAAAAAAAAAAAAAGATAGAAGAAAGTGAAAGAATGTGGACATGCGCAGTTAGCTTAGAGATAAGAACTTGGCAAGCTACGGTAAGTCTTACAGGTCAAAAATAAGAGCTCATCTGGTAAATACAAAAACGCAATGACAGGGAACCACTTTTGACGTATCTCTCCCTCCCTCCCTCCCCCGCTCTCTCTGTATCTCTCTATGTCTCTCTCTCTCCCACTCTCTCTGTATCTCTGCCCTGATCGCTTCTCCATCCCCCACCATTGCCCTTACCTTCTCAGGCCAAGCGAGGAGTGACTGGGAGGGGAGGATGAGGGACGGGGCCAGCCAATGGTGGGATCACCTGACAGGGAGCCACAGCAGAGGGCCCAAAGAGCCACATGCGGCTCTGGAGCCGCAGGTTGCTGACCCCTGGAGTAGACATACCTCATTCCCAACAACCACTGATGGTATGCTTTGGCCTCCAGACCTCTTATCATCTCTGGGGCTCTTCTCTGCATTCTTTCTATAATCCCTATCACAACCATTTCAGCAAGTGTTAAGAGATCTTACGGCTGCCTGCACGTAACATGCTACGCTTACTTCCTTTTACATTTAGCAAGGGCTCATTGGTTGAACTCAACAAGTTTATGGGCTTCCGGTTGGCTTCTGTCACCGCCAGACTGTCTTTCGGGACCGCCAGCCTCGTCGCCCGTAAGAGCCGTCTCTACAGCTGAGAGACGGCTCGAAAAACTCCGTCTCCTTGAGGAGACATGAGAGAGAGCCAGCAAGAACAGGTAGAGCCCTCTGCGAACTCCCCAGAGTTTTTTTTTACTCTTGGGGAGGAAGCAGAATGTGGCTCCCTATCCAGCTCGCCGCTGCTCCGGGCTTCGGGGGAACTCTGCGTTTTGCAGAGCCAGGCGATGGGACCAACCCAATCAACGAAAACTAACAACAAGTTTATGAACTCAACAGATTTACAATTCAAAATTTGGGGGTTTTTAATCATAAGCGATAAAAGGGTCAATTCAATAACCCAGTTAAGCATGTTATTATGCAAATCCACCCAGGTCACAGCTTATCAGCACGGAGATTAAACTCAGTGCTACTTGTGGAAGTTGGTGATTGTATAACATAGAATGTTGGCGCGAACAAAGTAATATAGACTTGAGTCCCGAGTGCTTTTTCATAGCAAAAGGACAAATTTGGGG